ACGTTTCCTTTTCTTCTCATCACCTTCCTCCTCCCTGTCACCCCCAGCCTTCCCTGATCGTTTTGGTTTCCTCCCCCTTGCCTGCAATTCGTTGTCCTCCTTCGAACTAGCTGTTTTTCTGTCATCCAAATACTTCTTGGTGCGGGCTGAAGCTGTGCTCAAATCACCTTCCCCAACCTTTGACGCAGGAACGCCCTCCTTCTCCCTACCAGATGGTTTTGTAGAGCTCTCTTCTGCAGGCTGCTTGTTTGGCTTGCGACCTCTTTTCTTCGGGGGGCACTGGATAGCAGCTGACACAAACATAGTACCATCGATGGCATTCATGCACGCAGGCCTCTCAACAGGAACCTCCTGAAGAAAAGAATATGAACCAACACTTGGAATTCAATGCCCCATGATTGAGTGTATAAGTTGACACCACATCAATCCAATCGTTCTCCTCCTTGGGGCCTGCCACTTGTGGAGCTGCTTCAGAAGCTGCCATTGCTCCTGCAGAAGAGGCCATGCATGAAACACACACCTGAGGTGAAGAGAAGACCAGTCCTTGATTGACAGATGGCTGCCCCTCCTGCAGAAACAAATCCAAACCCTTGTAATGCACAGTTGGGTTTCCATGGTCCATGGTCAACCAGTGCCGCTCCTTGTTCAAAGCTTCACTCTCCACAGGTTCTTTTGGTCCTGTTTGTTCACCATCTCAGATCTCCAAAATACAGTGCAATACACATTTCAATTCACGTCCTGGACAAATTCCTTCAGAAGGCTGCTCATGCTCACTCTTTAGCTCCTGAAATTGAAAGGGGCTGAAAATTCAAGGCCATGCTGGAAGCTAAAGTCAAAGATGCCACCTTCAAGTCTGGTAGTGAGGAACTTGTAGTGATTCCACTGCTGTCCAAATCTCCTTCGCAAAAGACCACCCAAAGAAAGTATATCTCGAGTACTCAGATTGCCTACCACAACTCAAGGACAACCCAATTTCTACCAGCCTCCGGGCTCTCCAGCTGGCACAAGTTCATCATGTACAGCCACTTCACCTACAGATACCATCAACACAAAACCCAGCACCCCAGAGAAGAAACAATTATGCAGACGCAGAGATGCAGAACATGCCTCCAGGGCTTGCGCCACAAGCTGCCACCAAGTTGTCGTTGAAGACCACCTCGTCCTGTTGTTTCACCCTCCAACCCCACAAGATAAAATTGATATGCATGCATGTATACCATATCAGTTCGTTACTATCATATCCTGGTCACAGTCCTGCTTAACAGCCAGCTCATCAACCGTCTCATCCTCCGCAAGAGTAGGCGGTCCTGCACCCAACTCGTAATAGAACAAATTATTCACCCACATAGAGAGCCTTATGTCCTTCCACGGAAATTCCATCAACCTTGCGTTGCTCTTCCTGCGACGCCACAATATGCGAATACAAACTGTAGTAAACTACAAAACAGATTGCAAATGCACATGATAAACCTGCTCAAAGGATTCAATGCCCTTTGAAAAGAACTCATCCACTTGGTGCACATCCATGGGCAGGGTTTCCAATTGATCAATGTTCCCTCCTGCAACATCGTTCAGAACCAAAGTCATCCAATGTTGACAAACATATGCCCACGTGTTGAATATTTCTGTAAGCTTAAAAGCACACCTGGCGGAAGAACTGGACTTTGTGGTAGCTTGTCTCGCAAGTCTTGAAGTCGATGCAAGTCTTCCATTTTCTTTTGAAGCTCCACCAAAACAGCCAACCTTTTCTTCGCAGCCTAAGACATGCACAACATGTATTATATAAAAACTTTCGAAACCATTAGCGAACAAGAGTAATTACATTGTGCAGCTGCAAAGTTTCCACTTTGGGCCAGTCTCCAAACTTGACCCCAGATTGGGAATGTGCCCAAGGTTAAAAAATATCATTGTGCAGACTAGGGACCACAACAGCTTCTGGGGTCAGCAAAGGTGGGCTGGAAGGTTTGGGAGGGGGAGTTTTGAGCTCATTTGCACTGGTGGCCCGAGAGGGTGGCCCTGAGTTCGGCAGGAATAAAGGATTTGGCTTCAAGTCCTCCATCAACCTTTCTGTCCCCCTTCCCTTATTGTCCCCTGTTTCTCCAGCAGCCACATCTTTCAGCCCATCACATTCCTCCAACCCATTACCTTCTTTCGGAACCTCACCGCATTCATGCCCGTGAGGTTCAACATGTACCTCCTCATCTTCCTCCTCTACTTCCTCTTCTCCTTCCTCTCCCTCCTCTTCTTCCTCTTCTTCCTCTTCCCCATTTCCATCTTCCCCTCCTTCCTCCTCATGCACTGGCTCTGGCCAGTGATAACCAAGGTCAGAAAGGTAGGCCCGCAGAATTTTGTCTTTCGGGGGGTTGGGCCGGTTCACAAGCCTGTTTGCAGTGAAGCTCAAGCAGCGCTTGAGCAGCCATCCTTGTTTCTCAGCAACAGGTCCTGCCAAACATAACTCCATCTAACAGAATCTAGCATATAGTCGTGCATATACTGGAAGTACAACAACTACCCAAATTCTTTCAAGCACTTGTCCTGGGCAATTTATCTTCATCAAATCATAGAGGGCAGCAACGTGGACCTGGCACGTCCTGACCCCTACCCTCAGCCCCAAGTGGTTGCCAGCAACAGTCAAGAGCCGCACGTTGTCTTTGATAGAATCTCTTGTAATCTCCGGTGTTAAGACCTTCACCTCAGCACATGCTAGCACATAACATGCATGAAATATCATGCATGAACATCCAACCGACATTAGTGTGTCAAGCTGGACAGGCTCGGTATTAAGCTTATAGGCAAGAAACCAGCTCCAATTCCTTGGCCATGGTCCTGATATGCCCAATCTTCTCCCATTGGACAGCCAAATTGGAGTGTGCCATTGCTAGCAGGTTGCAAGGGATGCAAAACTAAAAAGTAACAGCACCATAAAAGCATGCCAAGTGCATATGCACACGTTGGTATGCATATGTGTACGTGTATGACATGATTTTTAACTTGGAAGTCTGAGCCCGTGCTTCTCCAGTGTGCTCGCAGCTGTCTCACAAGCAAGCACGCTCACAAGACAGCACGTGAAGCAGAAAAGAAGGCGACACATGCAGAGAATGCATCCTGCCTTGTCAAGGTTGGGAGCCACTCAAAGCAGCGAGGATTGACCCCAAAATGCTGCAGAGTGGCAGCTTCCCATCAATTTGGGATGAATCATGATGCAACCTCTTGAAGCTTCCACAAAACTGACCCATTGGTACGTTTTGTCCAATCTTCATGTTTTGGACCAAATCTTTACGCTTTGCAGGTGGAATTGTAAGAAATAAAGATAGGTCAATAAACTTTGACCAAAGGAAGGTTCAGGTAGACATTTTTAGTAGGGATCTACTTTTTGCTATGCTCGATTTATTTGAGAGTCGACATAATCTTTGTTGACGAATAAAACCTTGCATTGGAAGAGGTTTCACAATCCGAGTGGGAGGGTATTAATCAACAGCCTGCTCAGTCTACATGAAATTGACCTTCCTACTGGAAGGCATTGAAGAGATTGAACTGCGTTGAATCCCTCAACAGAATCTCATTTAGGTCATTTCTGGGAGGGTCCTTTGGGTCAATTGGGTCATCGGGCACCAGGGGGGACTTCTTGAATTTCATCCGGGGTCATGCGTCTCTTCCGAGTGTCAAGGCCTCTGAAGAGAGGAGGGTGGTAAGGCGTTTCTGTGATGACCTTGAAGCATGAGGTAGTCGTTGAAGGACTTTTGCATATTGGTCAGGTAATGCTGTCAGCATAGCATGCGAACCGCCCCTGTCCCTTTGGATAGAGGTCACGCATGGGGTCTCCCAGGAAGTACGTAAAGAAACCCATTCAGTTGCACCAAGGGGCCAGCTATTTCAGGTATGGAGTATGGAGACACCCGTGTATGATGCACACAGATGCACACCTAGTCTATTGTAGATGGTTGATTCATAACCTCCCCAGGAACTGGATGGTAAAGAATCTTATACGGGTTTGTATTCTGCGGGTTTCTTCCAGGGCTTGCCGGATTCTCAATTTCCGGTGATATTGATCAATTGATCTACATGGCCCTGGCATGTACATGAACCGTACATCGCACTGTCTATCGTCCAACCATCCATGTGGCGAAACCCAGCTGAAACGGCAGTGGATCTCCAACTGACACGATACGACGGACGACTCGACTCGACCCCACGGCCCCTGAGGAGAAAGAGAAAGCAAACACCTCCTTTTTTGTATGCAATATTCGACTAGTGCCAAACAGGTCTGAGGATATGGTTGGAGCATGTTGGAGCCCTAGGGTATGATGCCATGTTGACCAACGAATCTGAGGCTCTTTTCCCTTGATCGAAGTCACTGGGGTCACTCCTGGCACGCGCTTCGCACGGCCTTCCTACTTCGGCATTGCCGACTTCAAAGTATTTGAGCCGACAAAAGGTGTCACCATCGTTCACCTGCAAAAAGTTGGTGCTGCTTGAATGGCGCGTGGTATTAACTATAGTGTTGGTGTGTTGGTGTTTGCAAGAGTGAAAACCCATAAAGTCATACTGCTTTGCGGAAGTTCATCCATTTCCTTTGAGTTATGTGTGTCTTGAGCGTCATGTGCTAAGGTCTTGACCAATGAGTATGAAGCATGGAAAATCTTGGATGCGGACCTTCATCCTGTAACTGAAAATATCCAAATGATGATGAAGCTGCAGCTCGGATTCTATGGGAAGCAGATGTTCACCAGATGTTTTGTGTGGTGTTCAGCAGGTCTCTTGCCACAAGTACTGGTGGGTGATTCGGGCGTGCCACGAGCCTCGAGTACGATGCCACGAAGCCTCTCAGCCTCTCAGGTTACCGCGGAAAATCGGTGACAAGCACATCGTGAAGTTTTCGGAGGGCCCCTGCTCTGCGGACGTAAAATCGGATAATCGACGTGGAGACCAGAGCTGCGCCGGCCTCTTCGTGGAACTCGTGAAGCAACCTCAATTGGGCCTTGTGCACCAGGAGACAGTCTATTTTTGTCCAGCGAAAACCAAGTGCATACCTCCAGCAATTCTTTTTGGGTTTTTGGTTTCCCCACTGAAGAAGAATGGAACTAGGTGAACCCCCCTGTATTTTCCAGGGAATCTGAGGGAGTCAGCCATATGTTTGGGTCCTTGAACGACGAGCCGACGAGCCTGCTTGCTTCGTGGTTCGCTTGGTCGTCGCGCGTGTGGGGTGCGGTGATGCGAGGTTTCGCACTCCTGGTGGGTCGGGCCTGGGGCGTTGGACGTGATTGGTGGCAGCGACGAGAAGGACCCCCCAATGGTTCAACGATAAAGCCGGGCACTGCCCTGAGGACATGTCCTCAGGTGATGTTCTGAGATGGGTAGATGTAATCCGGGAGACCTTTGTGGCCGACAGTCGATTTCCCTAAGCTTCCACCAAGGGGTCTATACATGGTCTGAGCTACACAGCACATGTGTTTTGCCTATTTCTTCGACACTAGGAGTTGGAGAAGGAGATCAAGCTGGCGCATGTGTCCTCGAAAGGCTGCCATGCAGAGTATAGCCTCATTTGCCAGAATGGCATTTATGAGATCAAGGACCCGCAGTCGTTTCTGTTCTTTTTGTGCAGCAATCAAGCATGTTATTCTCAAAACGAGCCATGGTATACTTAGAAATTGTATGTGTATAGGCACAGAACGATCAGAACTTCCGCAGGAGGCTCCATTGCAAAATTTACCAATATCCTGCTACCAATAGTCTGTTTGGCATTATCCCAAGTACCCGAAAGCTAGCCATGCAGCTTGAGGAGTTCGTTGGTCTCAACACTAACTACATCAATTTTGACTCGATTTCCGATGTTATTTTCCTGTGAGGAGTCACACCTTTGTACCACTGGGCATTTTACCGGTCCTGGTCAAGGGACAGTGGAAGGAAGTTGGGAAGTCTGTGCATCTGCCGATTTCTCCTTGAGTCTTCTGACGCCTGTGCTGGATCTCACTTGGGATGTGGAAATCCCTCCGCACACGCCCGTGGAAGGTCAGTTGGCAGCAGTGGCAGGATCATGTTGACATGGGATTCTTCTTCTTGGGAGGGCTCCAGTTAGCTTAAGGTTTGCTTTGCAAAGGTTTCTTCCATCCAAATCAATACCAGTCTCAATCGCTTGGAGTATGGCTTTCAGAGGCTTTCGGTTTCTCAGCACCTGTGGCTTTTTGTTTCTCCCCCAAAACCCACATGGCCCCCCGGTCGTGCGACGCAAGCAACTATGTAGCACAGGCCGACCGGACCGTTGGACAGACCCCGGAAAGTGTCAAACGGCGTCCTTCGGTGGATCGAACCACGGGTGAGTCACAACGAGAGAGAGAGAGACGAGACGTGAACCACACTGGATTCGGTGAAGACGAAGTGCCACCGAACGGACCGAGTTCGGACCGAGTTCGGACACCGAGCGAAGAAGCACCGAGTTCGTTTCGGGTGCGAGAAGCTCCGAATCCGTGTTGGGGTTCTTCGACGAACAGATCATGACGAAACGAACGAAGACCGAGCGGTCAACGAGAGGTCAACGAGCGTGACATGGATGTGACGAGCGAAACAGGGTGTGTTCTGATGTGAAAACGCTTCCAACATCTTCCAACTGACTCGGCGCGCCACGACTGTCAGGCTGTCTTCGCGTGTCCTTGCCGGAAGAGCATCCTGAGCTGGAGAAGGTCCGCGGTACCATGGAGCAGCAGAAGCAGGCACAGCGGCTGTTCCGAACCGCTTGGGTTCCTGCGGTTCCCAGTGTTGGCCGCACAGTGGTCGACCACTCTGCCGCACGCCCATGAACCGTGCAGTGCATGGGGTTCGGAGACGGGTCATGAACGACATGATGTTTGGTGTTGTGCCGTAGTAGACGCACTTCCCATGCATCCACTGGTTTCCACCCATATAATTACTAATTATTGTTTCTACTAGCTTCTTGTTACTACTAGTAAGGCACTTGTTACTAGTAGCGATGCACTTGTTCCTAGTAGCTTCTAATATTCTAATTATAAATGCATGACCTGAAGACTTTCCCAGTGCCAGGTACTCATTGCTAAGAAGAAGGAGGCAGCTTAAGCTGCAGTGCGCAGTGCACAGAGAAACGGTGATTCTTCGAACAAGAGCTTGCTGGCGTTTTCCACCGTTTCTCCCCTTCATGCCCGATAGTTGCTGAATGATCATCAGAATCTGTTGCAGCGGCACAAGAGGTCATAGATAAGACTCAATTGGGACTGGAATGCAGTGGTTTCAGAGTATATAGATGGGCCCTCGTCTAAAGGACATCATTTTGCCTCCATCTTCCAACTATGCCAAATGTATGTCTTTTCATCCATAAATCCATAAACCCAGGCAAAAGGCACATGCTTTTAATATTTGGAAGATCTAGCTATGCCTAAATTACCCACTGAAACCCCCCCAATGTAGTTGGCCCACGGCAGGTGTCAGGCAGGGCGTACCAGACATCATTTCAGAGCAAATTTCGGGATTTCCTACTCCATCCGGTCATAGAAATACAACAGACAGCGAGACACCCATGGATGTTTCACCTCAACCATCACCCCAAACCTCCTATTCATGTCTATATCCTCTTTTTTTAAAAAGGACATCTATACCTCATGATCCACGAAAAACAACAACAACGATCTCCACACACCACTTGCGCACGCACGCACCTCGACGGCACTCGCCCCGCCCCCCTGCCCGGCCGATGGAGCCCGTCTCGGCTCTCGGCCCCCGAGGTGGGCGGTTGTCCAACCTTCCGGACGGCGGGGGACCGCCTGGCGCGCGCGGGGGACTTCGAAGGAAGTGGATTGACCGGTGTCTTCTCGAGGCGAAGATGGAGTTGAGAGGAGAGACGGAGACGGGGGGGGGGGAAGCCCAGGTTAGGTTAGGGAGAGAAGGGAGGGAGGTTGGTAGAATTGGTGATGAGAGTTGACGAAGAGTTATGAAATCTCATTAACTTGTGTTACTTGTATGATCTTGCATTAAATAGAACGAACGCGGTTGACATAATTTTGTGAAACCGATGTTTTTTTTCATGCAATGCTGAACCATTGTCATTTAGCTTGGTGTCGGATGAGGTTGGAGTCCATCGCCAGCAGGAGCCCATCGCTATTAGAAACAACAGAAATGAGGATCAAGGATTGGGCCAGGCCTTAAGAATCCTTAAGAACTTCACTTGGCCATTGAGACGGACTAGTTTTGGCATCGTCTCGTTGGCCTTGAGAGTGGCCTGCTTGGGAGACCAGCACATTGACCAGTCTACCGTCAGGGCATGTAAACGGGGCTGCCGATTAAAAGATATGCCCAGTCTACCGATAACCCATATGAGCAACCACTGTTAGTTAGGCTTTACTAAAGTAGTCTACGACAGGCTCTATTTGCTTGTCTATCATCACTAATTATATCATTATATAATGTATATTTATAATGTTATTTATATAGAATAAAGATGTGAGATCTGCATACAGGCTTCATGCAAGGTGCCACTGCTCAGTCTGTTCCACTGATGGTTTTCACACTTGTGTTCCTCCAATCGAACTTTGGGACAAAAAGACACCCTATTTACCGACCCTCCAAACCATAACAGTGTCTCCAATCACCGTACCTGAGAATGTACTTACTTGGATCGCTAAGGATATTGTAATTCTTCTGTTGATTGATCAGGTCGTGACTAGTTAGCAGACTACGGTCCATGTTGGAACCCTTCCTGGGGACAGTGTCCACAGCCACAGGCAGTACTTGAAGCTTTTGCAGAAGGAGACATGCGCCGAAACACACAAGCACGCAGCACATGCGTGTTTCGCCGCATCAGCAGAGAGAGAGAGAGAGAGAGATTTGGAGTTCATATGTCACAGATATTACAAACACTTATACATAATTATTGCATACAGGCTTTCATGAAAATCACATACGCCCAAGGCTTCTGGTGGGGGATCAGAATCAGACATCCAATTGGTTCATTGATTTCCTCACTGTTGAGACTCTTTTCCTTCCTGCTTGCTTCGTCGAGGAGCTTTCCAGTCGAGCACAGGTCTGGGCTCATGCTCCACCTGGGAAGAATCAAGAGTCCTTCATCGACTCCACGATCCATGTGGCCTCCCTCTCGACCTTTTTGCCGCTTGGGTTCTTCCAAAAAAGCCTCCTTTCTGCGGCACATGAACAAGTCCCAGACACGAATTGTCTGGGACTGCCAAGTCGGACTGCCTTCAAAACGGCTTCCGGGGTGGTTGACTGGGGGTCTGGCTGTTTCTCGGCAGTCCGACTTGGCAGTCCCAGGTCCGGGTCGTGTCTGGGAATCGAATCCACAGTCGTCCATCATCTGGTGTCGCCATCGAGAAATGCCATCATCGATCCGCGACAGGCGGATCCGGAGATGCGACCGGAGTACCCATTGTCCACGGTCTATGAACGGTCGATGACGGTGGGTTCAGAGTAGATGGCACCAGGGCCCCCAAGAGGTGTGAACCCCCATCTAAAGGACATGTAGGGGTGCCAGTGCCATCTACTCTGAAACCACTGTATTTTGTTGTAATCCCCCTAAATCCATCATCCACTTAAGATCCATTAATAAACCTATAGGGACGGTGTCATTTTTGCAGTTGGGGCTTAAGGAGAGCACTAAATCGCCTGTTGACTGTGCTCCCGCCACGTACCACGAACCGCACCACTGCGTGACCGCGAGGCCTTACTTTGCGAACCGCACCACTGCGTTCACCACCTGTGCTGCATTGAACTGTGGAGAGCCAGTGCCCTTCATCGACGGTCCCATGCGTTTCCACTACGAGGCACCGGTGTTTGAAGAGGTTGGAAAGGTGGAAGGCCCTTGGACTTGAGGATTGAATCATATTGAATCCACTTACTGGTCTGATTTGGTTGAGATCTACTCCGTTGACTTTGGACTACACAGATGTGTGCACTGTGTCATGAATGGTGTGCAAGTGTTTCTACACTCGTGCACAACTATTTGAACCATTCCAAGATTCTGGGGGCGACGGAATTAGTAAGCTACTATATAGGGGCTCCTGGCCTTACTACTAGGAGCAAGGACGCTACTAGGGGCTCCTGGCATCGCTACTAGGAGCATTCTTACTACTGGTCTTTCACGGCTTCGAAACGCAGAACTCTCGTAATTACCGTTTTGTTCTTTTTCTTTTCCGTGCAGCTCCTGTGCTGTGGCAGCTCCGGAGCAGGAAGTGGCCAGTGCCCAAGCAAATCCCAAGCAAAAACGGGTCTTTTCCTTGGCGTCCACCACGCCCACCGAAGAGTGCCATGCTCGTTCATTGCCATTGCCCCTTGGGAGAGCAGAGACCGAAAAGAAGAAGGAGAACAAAAAGGCTCAGGGATTGGTTTTTGTTTTGGTTGGTTGAGTCTGAAGATATTCTTTCTGAACTGCTTTTTTGAAGCCTCATCTGACATGTGAGGACAAACATCAAATACATAAATAGAATCTATTTAGACCCTTTGGTATATATCATTATATTCCATCATTATGACTCTTCCAAGTTCAAATATCATTAAATATATATTGAAGACTGATTGGGACTGATTTGTGTCCCGCAAGACTCGGCTGATGTCCGAACTTTCCACCGTCGAAGCTTGGACATCCACGATGTGGAAGGACGGTTTCAAACGAAAACGGACTCAGTGGTTTTTTTTTCACGAAAAAGCAGCCAGATGTGTTGTAAAAGCTTTCCCTACTTTTTGATACAAAAGCCCAACCCCAGAAAAACCCCACAAGAGCCTGTGATGTTAAAAGCCACACATCCCCTCACCCACTCACCCACATCAAGCCCATGTCACGTCGCTGAGGTTCTACAGTAGTGGATCCCCAGAACACACGCAGTGGCGACAGCTGTTGGATGCTGCCGGCTTTGAAGAGATGCACAAGAAGGAGTGCAACCTTTACCAGGGTAGATGTCAAGGTTATATCTATGTTTTAATGTATTATAATCTATAATGTATGAATTTACACCATGCACATATCTTCAAACTTGAGCAGAATGTCAAGGGGCTAAACGTGTTCGAAACTCCATGGGTTATATATTATTATCATCAGAAACAAGACAATGATGATTGCCATAAAACGCGCAGAAACTTCAATTCCCCAAAGACCACACACAATACCACCTGGGAAGACAAAACGAAAGGCTTTGCAAGAAGACATCCAAAACAATCCGATTGTTGTAAGGAGTTGACCACCGCTGCATCCCTGCTGGATGCCGCGTGGCTGGAGAAACTGCGCCGTGCCATTGGCATGCAATCAGTGCTGCCGGCGCCTACCGAGTTGGAAGTGGGACGGATCGTTATCCCCTTGGTCTTTGAGGCCGGGCTAAACCCGACCCATGGCGATGTCGCGTCGGTGTTGCGGTTTCGGTGTTGCGGTTTCGGTGTTGCGTAGCTCCGGTGGTTGGTGAGTTGGAACTGGGGATGTTTGGGAGGACGTTGGGGTGGTTGAATGGTTGGCGGCAGAAGTCAGAAACATCAGTTCAACTAATTCTTGGGCCATGGTGAAGCTCTTGACCCAACTAAGATAAGCATTCTTGACGGAAGCCTTTGCTTCTTGGAGGCCATTTGGGGCAAGAAGATGTCCGCCTCAGAAGTCTATCAAATCTTGCCCTACCTGGAGTTAGGGAAGATGTGCATCTTGGGCAAGCGTGGGAAGCACGTGGGGGTGGTGCAACCCAGAGCGCTCAAAGCCATCAAGAACGTGGCCATTGCCTTTGCACGGGACTCTCCAACAGCGCAGAAGTTCCTGGGCAAGAGCTATCAGCGTTACCCTTGCATAGCAGCCATCGCAAGTAGGAAGAAAGCATCCTCAAATGATTGTATGGTTACAAGTTACATGTGGCAAAATGGCTTTGGCACCTGGAGCACTTGGAATCGCACTCTCAGACCGCTTGTCGTGGCACGCAACCCTCAATCAGCCGTGTCCCCAATGTATCCTCCCCAGGGTCCAAACCTTAACGCGGCCGTTTCAAACGTCCTCCTCAAGCCATGAGGCTCTACAAGTTGATTCAAGAGCCCAAGTTCGCTACACTGAAGCACTTACTGGAGACCGACATGACGGAAGAGACCTTGAATGACAAGCTGGTGCGAGACATTATCCATGCCTCGTTTCTTGTCGGCGGCGAACGGTTCGCGGTTTCTGTTGGAGATTTGGGAAGGGAAGTGCTCTTTGCTGTTAGTCTTAGTTCAGGGTTGAACAGCTGAGATGCTTGAAATGATTGCATGGTGGGGCACCAAGTTGTGAGATGGGTGTGTGGTGAGTAATTATGTGGTGTGGGTGTGAATAGGGCGACACCTGTGGCCCAATGGATGTGTCTATGTGGTTCAGAGAGGTCTGTGGGGGGGCTATCCTCATCAGGCTGATATGAGCTGATAACAAAGAACCTACCCCCCTTTTTGCAATCTGGAAGTGGACCAGGGACCCCTGTTGAGCTTCACCAGAGGCCCTTGTTGAGCATGTTCAGAGGCTATACAGGAGGCAAGGTAGGTTTGTTCCGCTTCATTGTTGGAGGGAGATACTTTTGGACCAAAAACCTGTTTGGCCCAACTACAGGATTCGACTTGCGGAATTGAGGCTCTTTGCTGGCGTTCTGGGAACCAGCGACATGACGACGAAGTGCGTGCAATCTCAGTTCAAGGACTTCGTGAAGTTCTTTTGAAGTCGAAGAAGCTTTCCACCCATGGAAAAGCGGAGGGGCTGGAGTTGAACAACAAACTCCTTGGAAGTCTGTGTTGTTGTTTCTTCCATGTTCTGTTATATGTTGCGAACTGAGAAGAATCAGTAACGAATCACATACAAATGAGAACTTGCCTGAAGCCGATTATTGATGTTCATCATGCGAGCGAAGAACCAAAAACAACCTGATGTTGCACTACCTCCCTGCCTACCTCCCTGCGCAGGATGGAAATCATGTAATGATGTTCCGAAAAGATGCAGGCCGGACGAACGTGGCCCACATCGTTGGGTGGTTCTTCACGAACATGTCACACTCCGTTTCCGTGCCAACATCGTTGGACGTGCCAAGTACGAACGGCGATACTGCGAAGTTTGCGATGTCCCCATCCCCCGACGTAGGGCCCGACGTAGTACCCAGCCCTGTCGGCCGAACAGGTCGCACCCTTCTTTTCGTTTCGGTGGGACGACCGGGGCCCGGGTGTGCCATGTGAGAGGTCCCAAGGGCGGTGCCCTGAGGAGGTCACCCTGGAGGTCGAACGTGTAGTCCCTGACTGAGGGTTCCATCGATGTGACTGTGCGAAACCACCGGTTTTTCCCCGGACGAAGCGTCGACCTGTGTGAACCACGTCGGACGAAGCGTCGACCGGTTTTGGAGGGGTTTGGACTGCAGTGGTCGTGGTGGGTGCCAGGGGGGTGAGACACAAACAGATGGTGATTTGAGTAAAGAACCCATGTCCAGATAGATCATTTAGGTCCAGTCCAGGTCCAGTCCAACCCAGTTGGTCCGTTTTAGTGATGGTTCAACGCACAGATTATATGTTTGAAGATTGCTTAGAGTGGAGACGTCCCGAACGAACAGATGGAAGTCATAGGGTAAACGTGCCAGTAAACCTGTAGCAGTCGGTAAACAAGAACATGACGGTTTTTGAATAAGCCCTTCAACCTAACCATCATCATCCACTGGGCCCTGGTAATAGATCTACCCAAATATATACACAAGTGTTCTAACACTTAGCCCGTTGGGGGCGGGGAAAAAAAGACATCAACCCGAATCAACCCTCAATAAACAGATACTCCACAGGCGCAATACGATATTGCATCGTTGATTTGCATTGATGAATTTGCATGGTGAATACATCTTTGCGCATGTTTCAACGGATCGAATCATCAGAATCCTAAAGCCTAAACCCGCTCCTGTCCAGCTCCTGTCCAGCGCAGCCTGATGGTCCTTTTTCCCCTCCGTCCTTGTAGGGGCCTATTTACATGAGCTGATGCGACTGGATGGAGCGGTTCAGCAATTCACCACTGCCCTCGACAGCGACCAGACCATCGTCCTTGAGGGACATAAGGTATACGGAGTGGCACGGGGGACAGGGGGATCACAAGGGCGAAAACAGACTAGCGATGGCCTCCACTGAGCATAGCGTCCTTGCGACCGTTCGTAGCTACCAACCTACGATGGCCTCCAACCTGGCCTCCAACCTGGCCTTCACCACCGAGTATAGCGTCCGACCAACGTGTGGAAACGACTCCAGATCCCGGGTGATGCAGCGGTGTGAGTCACGGTGTGAGCGAAGGAACAAGGGAATCAGCTCTTCGCCTTTGGTGCAGATCTTGGTGGTATAATCCCCCTTGCTTGCGCCATACTGAAATCCTTGGGATCTACCTTAGCTGTCGGTACCAAGGGGGATGTGGTTTCTCGTAGCCAAGAGTGAGTGAAACGAGAGCGGCTGAAGGCGATGCATCGGTGAACGGTGAACGAAGTCACTACCGTAAACCTACCATCCCCGTTTCAAACAGAAGGCTTTCCAAGTTTGAACGTTTTTTTTTTTTACACCAGCTCACAATATTGCATGTTATACCTGCATATATGTTGGTGTTATTTTATGTTTGTTTATGTGTGTGTTTTACATTCTGTTTCTATGACATATTTGTTTAGTTTGTTTGGTTTTAAATATTGTGCATGAAGAACAATGATAACTTGAAATCTGAAACCGGGTAACTAAAGCCCAATCCAAAGAGGAATTTGCATTGACTCCGTTCTTCTGAGATATGACTCAATTGATCACAACTGAAGACTTGTTTTTCTTCTGCAACACTAAGCTGACTTAGCTCAGAAGGTATTCTTCTAGGCTCAAAAGGAGTTCTTTCCCACAACTGAAGACAACTGAGAAACCTTCCCTCCACCACTGTCAACCGTGCGGATGAGCTTTGACTTTGAGATGACAATTGACCACAAGCAATCCAGACACCTGACAGCAGGGAAGCAAACACAAAACCTCATTGAGTGTCCCTGTGATTCTCAGATTTTCCAAGCCTGTCACATGGTGTTGCTTCTTCTGAGATAATTTGAGACGATTTGAGAAAATTTGAGATTATCTGGTTTGGTGCGTATATTTTAAAATTAATATTCCGATAAATGTTCAGAGTTTGATAAATTTTGAGATAAAAAGAGATAAAATGAGCTGGGACAAGTACGTGTTTCCCTTTCAAAGTACTTTTGGCTTGAGATATTTTGAGATCTTGTTGATAAATTTTCAGATAATTTGAGATCATTTGAGATTTGGTGCGAAATAATTTGAGATACTTTGAGATAGTTTGCTTGAGATAATGTTTATACTTATGTTTTTTGTGTATTAGTTCATGTATTTTGTGTTTATATATATTTATGGGCGTGTCGCCCTTTAGGTGTGCTGGTGTGACTGGTGTGTTGTTGTTTTCATGTGTCTTTATGTGTCTGATTTGGCATCATTTGTTGTTGCTGTGATTTGTTATACACTGACTATACAAAATTGATTCATTCATTGATAAGTTGCATGTGTGTTTCACAGGATTTCTTCATTTGTCATATCTTTTTGCATGTTTCCACATCTTTCGCATAAAAAATCTCTAGGAATCTCAAAACCCAACCTTTTCCTCAAGATCATTAATACCATCAAAACCCTTCCGATTGAAAACCCTTCTGTTTCAACGGGCTGGTTTGCGGCAGTGAAGAAGGAAGATCGGGCTTGAAAACAGTGTCCTTGCGGCAGAGCGAAATTATGAGTTAAGTATGTTATTTCTGAGTTGTTTAGTTGTGTATTAAGTTTGTATTAGATTCTTGGCCAGTCGTATTCCATTGGCAGGTGGCATTTCCCAAAGATCAGGCTGTGAACATGGTCATGAACACCGCCAATCGAATCTGGCTTGCAATATTCATTTTGGACATTTTTTTCATCCGGCATCGTCCAGCACCACCACACAGCAGGTTGGTAATTTTGCAAGGTGAACCAATGGTAGTTGACCAGTAGTTTCCCACTGGGTGGTGTATAGTTCCTAAGTGAGTGGATAAATGGGCACCCCGACTACCTCCATGGATAGCATCCCTTTGTAACTCCTCATATGGTAGTTTCCTTCTTTTCTGGACCACTCAACCTAGATGGTGGATGTGCATATATGCGGCATTCGGCTCAATCACACTCGTGTTGGTGGCTCGTCCTCCTGGCTTCACACAGACCACCGCACCGTGAATTGATGGTGAACAGCAGCAGCAAGAGGTTTGGGATGTGTTGTTTTTCTCTGAAGTCACAGAAATGTCACATGTTTGGATGTCAGTTTAGGGGCTTGGTGTAGGAAAAAGGGTGGTGTTTTCATCCTGCCTTGATCCATGTTCCTCGGTCCCCCGTCCGGGTTCCTGGGCCGGCGACGACCTCGACCTCAACCGTCTCGAGGTGAACAATGGGGTGCTTGAAGGGAAGAAACGAATCTATACTATATACATCTATACCAGGAAACCCATGTTTTCACCCCCAAAAAGATCCCAAAAACCATGGGTTTCCTAGTGTTTCGTATGGATGTTCCGTTGAACCAATTCTGGAAAACATGGTATGTCAACATGCCAGTCCCATGAAGCTAGAGTCCGTGTTTCTGTTCAACACCACCCTCTGGGGTTAAGTACGGTCCATGCCCGGTACTACTGCGAACGGTCGCTCGGGGCTGAACGCCGAGATCCGCCCACTGACACGAAGTCGTCTGCGGAGGAGATCCGAGCAAGTTCCCGGATCCCGACGTGTTTGATCCTGACAGAGCCAACCTTGATGAGATGCTGACCTGGAATGGACAATTGAAGTCTCTTGGACGTCCATTTCTTGGCCCAACTAGGTCACCACTCGTGCGAGATGGTGTTGTGTTTTAATGTCTTTTTCATTGCTTAAGTTGCATCTGTTTTGCTGGAGAAACACGTCAAACATATCTCGGTCCATTAGGGGTTCTGCACAAGGTGAGAAATTGCTGCAACAAAACCATGCCCAACCTGCCTTTAGAAGTGTTCTCGACGCCTCTTGGGGGGGGGGGGGAAACGATGACTCCTGAGGCACGTGATGGCTCGCAACTACAGTGGTGCCCCACGCTTCTGTCCTGGATATCACTTGTCCATGAAGGTGGCCAAAGAGGTTTGCGCGCAGATGACGAAGGAGTGGTTTGAGTCGATATTCCAGGTAGTTCTCAATGGAGTATTTGTCAATTGAGTATTGAATCGGATGACATAACTGTATTTACATAGACCCACCCACCAAGCTGTAGAAATGCAATTTTCAGCTGCACCCATGGAGACCAGTGGACCCACCATGTATGATCAGATAGACGCAAGAGTCAGATGACCTTTTTCTCACAAGATCATCGCTTCATACCGAAGACTTGGGAATGCATTTGGCCACACCTGCAGCCCTGCAGCTGCTGCAGCCCTGCTGCTGCTGCACCCTGACTGAGCCCTGCAGGATTTGAACCAGTGGGGTGGTTTCAGCCGCGAACACGCGAAGATTGAAGGCCTGGTGAAGATCAAGTGACTCGTTCTCCTTGTCATCGCGTCGTTGCTCGGAGCGGGGCGCATGCGGCACGCGTACGCGTCACGCGTGGGGCTGGTCGGACCTGGCGCCAATTTGGAAACAGTTCGGATGGATTTCTGGAATGCACAGGTTTCTCCAGGTATAGATTCTTCCAGGTTTTGGGGGCATTTCAGGTATTTCTGAAAATGAAGGATTTCTGACATGCACACGATAAATAGATCATGAGTTCTTCCAGGTTTTGGGCCCAAAAAGTTGACCATTCGGGCCCTGAAACTGGCGTAGTGAAAGTCCACTTTTGTGGGGAAAAAGAACACCCTTGGAACTCCCTTGGAAGATGCAGGTATCCCGCATGAACTCACAGAAAAACACCATACATGGGGTCTGTCCGCAAGGAAATCACTACTTTTTCAACAAGGCCTGCAACCAGGCCCCATCATCCACTGGGCCCAGGTAGACTCAGATATACCCAAATACATCTCCCAAGCACGAATCCATTTTTACAGATCAAACGATGGACCTTTGAGAAGTCGGGCGATTCTCGGGTGAAACCCGTTTGGCATTGGGCTCCGAACGGCCGACATGATCAGAAGGTAGGGACAGACCCCCCTGGCACCCACCCCTGGCCCACCTTGTGAGGATGTGGGCCAGGAGTCCAAACGGGACAAAAAAGGAACCCTTCTGCACATTGAGGACCCCTGGCTACTTTGGAAAACATGCGTCCGTCGCCTATTTCGACTTTAGCAAAGACAAGTATTGCCTCACCGAGAAGTACCACCATGATACCTACATTGGATGTTTTCCCGACGAGGAGCCGCCTTCCGAACTCGGAACGGCGGTTGGGCTCGGTCGGCTCGGGCTCGGGCGGTGTGAGGTGTGTGAACCACAGGCCGTGTGACCACAGGCGAGTGACGGTTTAGGTGGTTCTTGGTGAAAGTCGCCTCCCACATATACCAGCCCGGACGGGATCCAGTCGTACCGAACCTCAGAAGGCACCTGGACCACCCCAAACACCTTCTGAGAAGGTACAGAAGGTACTTGGATCCCTAGGGGCAGGAGTGTCTAACAGCTTTTCCTTTGAGACCTGTTTGGGCTCAACAATCCTCAACTCAAGATCTTTTGAACGCTCTTCTATATACTGTCAAAGAGAAGACATAGACGCCTCTGACGCCTTTGCAGTACAACATCTGCCACAGGAGTTTGCAACCTCTTGAACCTGGTCTCAGGGTGAAGTTTCCTCCGCACACCTCTGGAGCTGGGGAAAAGAACCTCCGCTGGTAGGAGACCCGGAGAGTCAGCCATGCAAACCTTACTCTCCATCCTGCCGCAAAGTATGGGTGTGATATGACCTCCAAGGGGTGTCTATTTATGGCCCCTTAGCTGTTAAGGGGTGTCCATTAACCACCCCTTGAAGGTCCTGGGATATAATAGTTATATCCGACTCCGCTATAGATCAGATATTATTGGTCTTTGACATTTGTTCAGAGATCAATTCATGATAAATTGAGTTGAAACTTAAAATAGAGAGACAGATCCCAGACAGGATTGCCATTTCTGCCGCCCCATTGACCCCCGACTTCAACCACCCTGGCCGTTTCTTGGCAGTCCGGACTGGCAGTCCCAAACGGGTCGTGTCTGGGTATATGAATTGAGGTAGTCGGGGTGCCCAGAACATTACATCCACTCACTTTATAGGGGACTCAACACCACCCCTACCTTTGTGACTCCTGGTCACTCCTATTCTTGGTCCGTCTACTGGAAAGAGACTTCGAAAGATCGATCGAAGCGAGCGAACTGCAGTGTCAGGAGCTGGAAGTGGTCGATCCCAATGGTGGCCGTCCCAAGACCCTGGAGGAAGAGCTCCCTGGACCACGACCACCGGCGGATGCGACCGCCGGTGGAAGCGCGTGCGACACAAGAGCGCTAGGTGAATTGGGGGTGTGAAATCGGTGGAAGCCGTCAGAAGCAGTGTTTGGGCTGGAGTAGCACAACGTACTGATCCAGGAGCCTGCTTGGTTCATGAGCTTAGGTACAATATGTGCCCAAAGATGGTTCCAGCCATGATGCAGATGCTCCTACGCGTGCTGGCACGACAAGAGGAAGCCCATTCCACCGTCGGCTGGATGATTGATCGATTGCTGGGCAAGACGCTTGGAGACACCGATGGATCGTTCATCATCCGTCCCAGCTGGATCGCCGTTACCTGAGAGTCGTCTAGTGTCACGCCCTGGGCGGTCAATCCACCCACCACTGGACTCTCAGGGGTCAAATGCGTCATGGATTCTTAGGGTCAGTTGAGAGGGGATTTGCTTTGTTACCCCAGGACTCGGCGACCCAACCTGAGTTCCAGTGACCATGTGAGGGAGTCCCTCCCTGAAAGAAACGTGGAAAACAAGCCCAACAACCATGGCAACCATGCCGTCCACGTGACCATGATTGTTGCAGGGAGGGTACAAGGACAAATCCAGAATGCTGTATTTATATATTATAGTTATATTTATGTTATTATATATATAACGCCATTTGGGGTGGTTTCATTGGTCAAGGTAGGCATCATAGTCCAGTCCCATGGAGTGTCTGGGACACTCCAGTCCCGTCGTCGTTTTCGACAACTCGCCTAAGACATCACCTGTCCAGCACGAAGAGCCTTTCTCCTGGTTGGCGAAAAAAAAAATCCAGCTGTGCGTCCACGAATCCACGTCTTTTTGTTGGAAAGACACGACGTTCTATATCGTCTATTATAGCCGCAGTAGGCGCAACTAAACAGGTTTTGGATGGTTTTTGGTCTATTCTTCTTCCAGAGGGGCTCTTTACAGGGTTTTCTTATATTGCACACCTTTTTTGGGGGGATGGAACAGTCTCACGAAGATGCACTGAGAATGGCAATGGTCCATGTTGTTTTGGTGTTTCGTTTTTTAATACATGGATACCAACTTCCTGTTTACGCCAAAATAGAACGATGACACGATGGAAGCAATTGCCTCACCTCTCTTAAAGGACACCTCACGTATCTTCGTCGTCTTCTTTCACGTATCTTCGTCATTTAGGATGGGACGGCGCGATGTTGACGTTGAAGAAGTCAGCACCGGTCGGGCTTGTGAAGAAACCGTCGGTCGCCGTGACCGCGTGACCGGCCGACTGACCGGAAACCTGCTGCCGCTTCGGTCGCTTCGGCTGGCGGGAGCAGTGTCCCTCCCACGCAGAACCGAGGAAGGCCGACAGTGAAGACTTTCATCCAGATTGGGCGGATGATTTTGTGGTGGGTTTGTATGCAGGCGGGTACCGTATATTGTTTTTTCCCGGCGGCTGTGTGGCAGTCACTGAAGCTGAATCAATAATGATGAGCCCAGAGGGTTGGCAGGAAGATCGTAGATGAAGACCCATGGCTTATTGGGGGTTGTCATTATCTAACAGCCAGCCAGATGGTATTTACAAGAATTGAACCAATATTGGAATAGCATCCAATACCCCTTTCACGAAGGTCTAGGGTTTGCCACAGTCCTTTTTTTTCATGAAAGAATCACCTGAAGTAACTGACAAGTAGACGGTAGAAAACAATTAATCACGATGATGTATTTACTGTACAATGTATTTCTTAAATATTACAGAAAATCTTTACAAAACAACATGTCGTTGAAGATGTTTGTTTGTTCGAGCTCCTCCGCTCCCAGACACCTCTCGTGCCGTGGTTCCAGGCATCAACCTCGTCAGCATGCCGATGTACTCCTCGCGGCACGCGAACTCCGTCTTCGTGCCGCGCCGCAAGGGCACCGTGGAGGTCTTCCAAGTGGGCAGCGTCGTGGCGCCCGACGTGGACATCGACAATCCCAAGTTCGTGCCGGTGGACGCTTGCTTCGGCCGCGAGTAGGTCCACGCTAAGACCTCGTATGACAGTCCAGTCGCTTCGCGAAGGACGTGTTTTCGGGGTGTTCGGGTGCCATCGGCCAGGCCGGTCCGTTGGGGTGTTCGGATTGTTTGTTTTGTATTTGCTTTGGGGGGGGGTCGATAAACAGATGCTGTCTTTTTGATGGTGCTTTTAGTACGGATGTTTGTTTGTGTCCCTGCGCAACTTAATTAGAACTAATTAGGGTTTTTGTTGGGATCCTGTTTGACAATCTTTGACATACGGGACAAGGGTGCACAATAACATCAATTAATACCGCAGGGTGCAAGATAAAACAATCAACATTCAAAGACTCTTGAAATCTCTTGACACATGTTGTTTAATTCATTTGTTTTTGGCGGACCTTGAAACAAATCATTGTCTGAGGAGTGGTATATCCCACAACCGCTTTTGGACCTTGGAATGGTGCCAGCGATGACATGTTTCCACGGATTCCTGCGGCAGTTGCCTTGGGATGACATGTTGGATGGTGAGCGAAATACTTGGGACTTGGTCATGAACCTCAGCAAGTTCTCTCACCGAAGGATCTGACTGGTCGCCGGACGTTGGGTTGGTTCATGGCTATGCCAAAGCACCGGCTGTGATTAGACACCCCGCCTTCTTTGGGGGTCCCTGGTATAAATAAATCTGCAAGCCAGCCGCGGCCAGCCCTCAGAACTGATGCAGCATGTTGGCATCCGGTCATTTTGGAGTGAAACTGTAGAAGTTTCCGTGATTGGTGGTGTGAGCTGTGTATTTGACAAATGGAAAGGGAACAAACACATTCACGTCATGCTTTGGCTTTGGTGTGTTCACCGTTCTTCGCATTTTGGGCGTTCAAGCACTGGCAGGAAGGAGGATTGGGTCATGAGTTTCTACAAAGGCTACAAGAGCCAAGATGGTGTGGAAAACTGGCCGAGCATGGAGGTGAACTTCGCCAAGATGCTCCTCGCTGGTGAAGTCGAATGCATGGCGATGGACGGACGGACATTGGAAATTGCAACGATCTTGAGATCTTGAAACATCAAACACGGCAAATGCTTGGATCTTCCAACGACATGCCAATTCTTTGCCGAACTTCATCCATCAAAGCAGCGAGATTCGGCAGACGCATGGACGGGTCAGATCTAAAATGCATCTCATCGAGTGCCAATGTGAATCCCATCCCAACAATCTGTCCAACACGTCAATGCCCTGATACCTTGACCAACCCTCGTGTGTGTAGACCGTGTCCGGAGAATCTGACGAAGATCTCTGTCCAAGTTCAGGGTTCCATCCGTACTTCTTAAAGGAGAGTGCAGGTACTGTATACTGCCGAGACACGACCCATGTGACTGCCATATTGGCCTACATCGGGGTGGCTTGGGGGGTCAACTGATCGGCAAACATGGCATACATGGAGTGTTTGGGCTGTGTTTCCCCAAACGTATTCACGGAGAACCCTTCTGCCAGTGTTCATTTCTTTGGTGACGGCCCCGTGGGAGTGCCTTTGCGTGCCGGAGTGCTCGCCAGATGGTTTTTGAGGTGGCCCGAGCTGGAATCGTTTGAAGAGTCATCAAACTTATTTAGGAACACGAAGTTGTTGCTGTTGTTGTTGCTGCTGTTGTTGTTTTCAAAATGAAGTTGTTGCTGCTGTTATTGTTTTACAGTGTCAGACAAACAAAGTCAGTTGTTTTAGACGATTTGTGTCAGACACCATTGACATGTGTGTGACTGCCAGGCCTGGGTGCTGGGCCGGGGGTGTTATGGTGCCCCAACTTGTGCTGCTATCAGACCTTTTTGGTCCTGGCAAACATGGGCATTTGGACCTATAGACCGTTAGCTCATCAATCATTGTTTGCCAATAAAAATAAGTCTTAAGTATGATAGCTCCAACCAGTGTTTAAACCCATCAACCGTCAAAACATGCGGAAACCGCGGCAGAAACCACCAAGGTATTGGAAGCAAGATGAGTGGGACGACGGCTTGGAAAAAGCCATTGCCTTCGGTTTGATCGCTTCTCACCGTCTGGAAGAACTGGATCCTCCAGTGAACTTTGGCGGCGACTCAATGCGTTGCTCGGTGTGAAGGGTCGCATGGGTGCGGCATTCCGCAGGTGTTCCCAGCGTTTTGATTTGCACCAAACTGTTTTGGGCTGCAGGGTGTTGGTAGGGCCTAAGATATGGCATAGATTTTTTGCCAATTGCACATGAATTCTACAAGTTGTCGAAGATATTGGCCCTCACATCCCCCCAACAAACCTGGGGACGTGTCGATTGCTGACGTAGTTCGAGTAGTGCGCACACGTTGGACGTTCTGAACGAGTTAACGGACGTGCTGACCTGAATTCGATGGTCAGGTATCACGCGCTGGAGGTGCGCAAGAACTTGGCCAAGTTCCAAGGCGATCTTTATTTCACCAAGGACTGAACTCGCAGAAACCCTAGGCCTCCAAGCACCTTCTGAGAAGGTGTTTGGGGTGGGTTTGGAGGGTCCAAATACCTTCTATAAGCAGGTATTTGGAGGTATAGGGGAAAGGGACCCAGCTTGCATAGCTGTAGACAGCTTGAGTGTGCCAGGATTAGTTGCTGCATGAGCAAGCGTGGAAGGTTAATGTATATAGCTATCGCCGAGATGGTCTATAACTCTGGCTAAGATGGGCCCAAATTGTTAATCTAGCCTTGGAACCGCTCAGAAATCCGGGGTTTTCAACCAAGGTAGATTTTGCTTGTTCTTCTCCTTCAGCAGACTTCAGCACGCGTTTTCTTTGAGGAGGGATACCCAGCGATGATGAAGCTGGCTGATGGTACGCAAGTGGGACGAGGAGACAAGGACTGGCAATATTGGAAATTCGTGTGGAGGCACAGGGCCCATCGGGATGCCAAACTGCTTGGGATTTTGTGGCCGGTGTGTCCGATGCTCCGATAGTCATCGACTGATAGTCATCGATTTCTGCATGTGAATCAATCCCAATGTGTTGTAACTGATATAATAATCCTAATTATCTAATATATAACAAAAATCAAACATATTTTTGGAGGTAACTGGAGACAGGTACCCCCGGTCTTTCTTTTTTACGGGGGTAGAGGTATTGGATGTCAATCTCCATGAAGCCCATTCTCCATCCTCCGTCTTTTCCCATGCTTTTGGTGTTCCCCAGCGGGACGCTCCGCGTCTTCGGGTCTGTGATCGATGCTTCACGGTGAACGACGGACACTCCGCGTCTTCGGCCGCTCGGCTCGGCGAAGCATGGCGAACCGACGCGTCGGAGTTCAGCTTCTAGCTATCTTTAGCACAGTCGAAGAACCAAGGAACTGAAAAGCTCACCCTGTTTCAAGCGGAGGGGGGGGTCTGGCCACCCCCTGAATCCCCCTTTTCCTGGACACGATGCCAAGCAGACCGGAACCGATCACCTGACGGTCTTCCGCAGGTGCTCGTTGATTACGATCATCACCTTGACCGATCATCTTCACTACACCCACTTCCGCGCCGGCAACGTCTTGGCCACGGCGGTGCGCAAGACCCTGTCGCCCAATCATCCCTTGCGGCGCCTGCTCTCGGTCTTTACCTTCGGAACCATCTTCGTGAACCTCCAGGTGAAGCGAACCTGTCGATCTGTCGATCGGTCGATCTTGGCCCTTCGTAGGGGGAAAGAAGGACCTGTGAAAAGCAGCTCCAAGCAGCTTCTCAGAAGGCCCTTGGAGCACCATTTTGGTGTGGGGATGGCTGGAAAAAATATACATGTTGTTTTAGGATCACCGGCAGGCCTCCATCATAGGGAGGATGTCGATGGATTTCTTGCATTGCTTGGCTACATCGTTGGATTGGTGAGACACCGCAACGAGGTTCAACATGTTTGGCCAAGCAGCCTTTGTCTTTTTTCAATCAACAACTATGACATCGGGGGCGGCATTTCGGGCGGCTAGGGGGTATGGATATTGTCAGAAACAGAGGCTGGCACCCATTTGAAGGGGTTCACCATGGTTGACGAAACATGTCCATCAAATGTTTACTTACTTTGGTGGCCATTGGACGCCGGTGCAGTTCAAGGCAGCATGAAACCTTGAGGCTGAAAAGTCTTGGGATGGATTGCATGCATGCGTGCAAACGAATAGGGAAGATGTAGGAAGATGTGCGGGAAGACTGTGACCCCCCCAGAGTGGTCATCCTTTATCAGTGAGTCGACTCGACCACTTCGCTAGTGTTGCTTGCAGAAAAGCAACTTAATTAAGGAATTCCCCAGCATTCCAAGTGCGGAAACATCTTTGACCTACATGAACCGCTTTTCAAACACCCCATATTCATCTATATTCCAAGTGTTTTCCATGTATGCCACATTTTCCAGCACCTTCCCTCCAACAGGTCACCACCTGCGACTTGGAACAGTCTAGATTTCATCCATGTTTGTTTGCTGCTTCCGTTCCGTGTCACCTGGGTGGACAACCCACCCTACTTAGGCGACAGGACACCCACACAACACACACCCAGCACCCAGCACGCGCGATCGGGTGCTCATCGGGTCCTGGTAGACATGGGTCGGGTTTCATCCGACTCATTCATCCGTGTGACCCCCAGGCGATGCACACCTTGATTGGTCCTCGACACGTCTTGCACCGATCAACACCCTTTGTCCAGTTCCCTGGCTTTGATGGCGGATTTTTAGGGTGATGGCGGATTTTCCCCGAACTGCGTGGAATCCCTCCAACTATGGGGAATATTTGTTATGTTCGTTCCCGTTTTTTTGGGAGCAAATGCCAAGGTTCGAAGACTTAAGCGATGCAGTGCCACAGCATCTCTTGCCTTTGTGGCTTGGTCGATGCCGAAGGTCTCTCTTCCGAAAGACACCCGGAACCCCTGCGAAGGGCGACCAAACGGCTGGTTCGGTTGTTAACGGTAAAAGCGACGTGCCGCCTTCACAGATCCACCCACCAGATCCTACACATGTACGCGCCAAGAGGATCCAGTTGTACCCAGTCGTAAATAAGGTGGCAGTGGATCCATAACGACAGCTTTTCAAATTTTCCAAACAGTTTTAGTTTTCAGCAGTTGCGTCGTAAGGTTTGGCTACGTGGTGTATGATCAGTTCATAATATCTCATCATTTGCAGAGGTACTATTTTCCACTTGTTTCCACTCTGAACAGATGATGTTTCAGGACCCAAAAGCACCAAGCTCTCTTAAAGGAGGAGGAGTGGAAGAAGTTGCCTCCCAAAGTGCGCTCCACGCCCTACTTCTCCGATGGAAAGCTTCTCTTCGACGCCGAACGGCCGCTCGGTTCCCGCGGCGCGCGGTGGTGAGGTCCGGTCCGTGGCGGAAGGGGTGTGGCTGATGAAGAGCTATGAACTCAGAACTCAGAAGTGATGAGTCTCCGGACATCGCCGAGCTATTCAGTCTGGAGGTTGCCTCTGGGTCACTAGGGGTTATGAGAGTTAGATACGAAAACCACCAGCACCCGACTGAAAGCAGGTCATCAAGGGGTCTCCAACTCTTTCGGAGAGGCAGGGAGGGTGCTGGTATACCCTGAGAGTCATCGTTTGTTTGAACGAATTGCCTTTAAGAGTATCTGAAAAAGAAATACATGTCTGTACAGACTTCACTCTCGCAAAATATATAAGTCTTTCGCCTTCTAGGGTGTGGGTGTATATAGTGACCCCCAATGTTCCATTAGGCCTTCTGATGATGACCCCCCCAGATCGATAGACAAGTCTCAAACTCACCACTGTTCACATGCATATATATATATGGAATGGTATGTATTTCGATCTACTTATGGTCACTTCTTTTGTGGTTTCAGCAGATGAAGTTCAGCTTTGCACGCAGTTCTTTTCGGAGACGAGTTGACAGAAGTGGACGGTCCAGAATGAGCGTTAGAAAAATAGATAATTGATTTAACAAACACATGGTGCAGATCGAGGTTTCACATGCTTTCACCATCCACGTCCGAGGGGCGGGGGGTACTATTGATCAGACGAGTCCAAACAGAAAGCACTGCTACTTTCACGGGTCGGGTTGTCTCCAAGACACCCCTCAGCCGCCCAAGAACCGCTCGATTCCGCGACCGGCTCGGTCGTTCGGTGGTCCCAGGAAGCTGCTGAAGGAGTTCAGGGAGCTCTACGGCTATGGCGCTATGGGGTTTTGCAGCAAGGAGGACCAGATCGTGGGGCCCGAGGCCGAAGGGTTTCTGGGCGTAGTCTCCTCAGGTGGGTCAAGACCTCCGCCCGTTTGGGTCATACAAGAGGACGTCATGGCGGTTTTGAGTCCTACAAAAACACGGTCATCACGCTCGAACTGCTTGAGAATCTCCTAAAAACAATACGCTCGAAGAAGTGCCGGGCTTGGACAGCACACCCTGGCCTCGCCTTCTCTCCGCAGCCAGGCACAAGGCTTCGTGTCGGAGCTCATCGCGGAGAATGCCCACTCGCATTATGCCAGCGCGCTCCACCAGAACGTCACCTGCACCGAGTTTTTCGAGGAGCGCGGTGGGTGAACCCGCATGGTTGCTGGATGCGATGATGCGAAAAGAGAAGGGCCAAGGGAGGAAGGAACGGTTCTTCTGTGCCAACAGGGAAGTGTTGAATATATCAAGTGAAGGGCCTTCACCACAGAGTTTGGGTAGTTCTTCTTTTTTTCACACCCCTACGAGTCCCTTTTTGGATGGTATTTTCCTTCCAATCACACGAACTGGGTGGTGCTGGGATGTAATTACTCTCTCTCTATATAGTGTGTCTTCTTGGGTGAACCCAGCTTTATTTTTTCCTGGGAGGTTTGCACCAAGGATCGATGAAGAGTGTGAGCCACAGAACGTGTCAAATTTCACTTTGCTGCACCTGAGAAACCCTGTAGCCAGATTCAAGAAAACACATCAAACAACACAAACACAATATGTGCATTCAATTCAATCCAAGCCGATCCAATCCTTGATGGCTGTCTCTACAAAATGGCGCGTGGAAGTGATGTTTGCCAGAGACTTGTAAAGAGTGTATCTCTTTACCCGGACACTCCATGTATGCCATATATGCCTACATTGGGGTGGTTTTGGGGGTCAATGTACTAGGCATATATGGCATACAAGGAGTGTTTGGGATAGAGAATACATCATGATCTGTTTGGAGCGCTGGCAGGTCATTTTTCCGATTAGATCCCTATCCATCTCCTCTCTTGCAAGATTCCCATTTGTAGAGTGTGTCCCTGCTTCTCGCAAAAAAAAGATTCTTGTGCTGGGCATGATCTGTAGACACTGTAAACCCAGTTTTGACAGAATTGTGATGTTGTCCACCAAAAACTTGATAACTACAACATGGAGGTCCACAACAACACCAACTGGCCAGGGGCATCCAGAGCCCGAAAACAAACCTGCTATAGATGAGGCTAGTGATGAGGCTATATCGCACCGAAGTTCCATCTTAAAGGTTGTTGGCTACATCGCTCTGATGCGCAGAGGTGTTATTTTTGATTTGCGCCCTGTCCCCCAGCAAACAGTGATGGTCCGAAGGTCAATCTGACCCATTTGGGTCCATCCAAAGTCAGCGCGTCCCCACGAGATTCTTCAGTCCTCCTGCAGATGGTCTCTACAGAATGGGATGGGTTGACCCCTGAGATAGATGTATCACAGATGATAGACCATTATAGATCAACTTTTTGCTCCAAGTGGCCAGAACATGCCAGAACACGCGCACCGTTTCACGCGCGAATCGAGGGGAAAAATCACCATCCCACCATCCCACGGTGCCACAAAACAAGAAAAAAACCTCCAGAACCACGGCCCTAACGACCTAAATGGGGGCGCCTCTTGAAACAGATCCCTTTCGAGGTCCTCGGTCGTGTCGGTGGGAGGAGATCCTCATGGCCTACATTTGGACGGTCACGGGATGGCATCGACATGTCGGAACGGTCGGTGGCTTGGAGGACAGGACGTAAGCGGTCGGGACTGGTGCTGGGTGGCTGGATGCGAGCCCAGACGCTCCGTAGTACCCGGCCCAGACGCTCCGTTCACAGCCCGACTGGTCCCTCAAAACCTATAGGGATTGGTTCGACCCCAGACCCCTCCAGAGGATTCGGGCCCAGGGTCGCGTCTGGGTAGGGCGTTCAGGCACCCTCAGGCACCCTCAAGCATCGGAACATCGAGGATCACCCAGACCATCCACAGGTTGTGGCGACTCCAAACCACCGCGAGGTCTGTGACTCCTGGATGAAGTATTTTTTGATTAATATGTGTTTAAATGGATCCATGAGTTACACCATGTGGTGAATTGAGAGTCTGGTTCCAACATAGCATCCTCAGAACGTTTGTGTGCAAGTTGTGTAACAGTAACACCAGGTGGCGGCCAGCATCCCCTCCTCTTTCGCGCAACAATCACCTGTCACAACCAAACCAACCTCCACATCCGACCGATCCCAACGTTCACTTCCTCCAAAAGGGCTCCAGTCATACCTTCTCAGAAGGTGGGATTGGGGGCCCGGGTGCCATGTTCAGGTCCAGATACCGAACCTGAGGAGGTAGGTAATTACTTGGAGCCCTAGGGCAGGTGCTCCACTGAGGCGACTACTATCGCGATCCCGAGTTGGCCTCCTTCAGCTGGGTGGAAGGGGAACGATCCGCCAGGCCGTTGCAACACATGCAGCTGCTTGTTCTGCACGACGTCGGGTCCGCGCGCCAGGTCATCGGGTCCGTGGTCGTTGGTACCGAAACGAACATGGGACATGACATGACCTGAAGAAAAAGCAGGTATACTGGTACCCATAAGGTATACTTTGAGACTGGTAGTGAGTATCCAGGACCTTCAAGTGGATCCCACGATGTTCTGCTCACAAACAGGCCTAATATGATTACGCCTGTTTGAGGGGTCGCGACATGAACGACTCCAGCTCTTTTGGTCACAAACGGAAAACTTGGGAACAATGTGTAGGACTAGTCAAACTAGTTGCCAATCTGGCACAATATGTCGCATGATATATGACTTGTTTGTGCTTTTGCTCCCAAGATCGCCAAGGATGACGACGGTGGCCGTTTTTACCTCATCTTTGCAGCCAAAGATCATCGAAGACTACAGCTCCTTGTTGAAGCATCAGTTCACGAAGTCGGCTTCACCGGCGACCGGGACGGACGGACCGGTCCGAACGGCGGCAGCTGTCGCGGAAGACACGCGGAAGACGGGATTCACCTGGACCGTGCTGCGAACGGCAGTCTCTAGAAAGACCAAATGTTCAGCATTCATCACACCCATGAGCTCTCTTAGGAAGCAAGAAAGCCGTAACTACACATCGTTTCATCTCCCCGTGCTGCGAAGCTGTGCGGAAGCTGTGTATATGTGCTCCTCTTGCTGTGTGGTGTTGATCTAACCGCTGAAATCACAGCCTGATTCTGTGTGTGTGTGCTTTTTTGTACTCGACACAGAGGTGGAGCAGACCTCAGACCTCCATGCGTTCCTACGGTTCTTCTACAACTACGAGTCATGGTTTCTCATTCAAAGTATACACCTTCCCCCCAAACGTCTCCTCACCTGCTTCTTCAAAGTGACCTTTTGATATCCTAATTGGAGGTCACTTAAGCCTCCCAAGGGTCCCGAAAAGGAACCTCACTTTGAAGAAGCTGGGACTTGGTCCAGACCTTTTGATTTCCACATATTTCCACTAAGGCGTCTAAGTGCAGAAAACGCCCCCAGGGCTGAGCTGGAAAGAAACGCCGGCGCGCCCCAGGCCCATCCAGGCACCCCATGATCCTGCTTCGAGAAAGACTGAATGAAGTTGGAGAAGAAATATGCATATATAAATATGTGTTTCTGCCAAACAATAACCACAAAGATTAGTTTCTCAAGATCTTAGAGTAAAATTCAGATGCTATACTCACTGTGGAGATCTTATGCCAGCTTCTTCAAAGTGACCTTTTAAGGGTTCCCAAGTGACCCTTGGGAGGCTATTATGTTAAAAGGTCAAGTTGAAGAACCAGGTCGTCAAATCTAGAACCCTTGGCATCGATGAAAGATCTCTCATACCCAGACGCAACCCTAAGGACTGGAATAGATGCCAATCAAGACAGACCCCCCACTTCAATCACCCCGAAGGCCGGCCGTTTTGAAGGCAGTCCGGACCCGACTGACCCAGTACCTTAGAAAATGGGACATGACCCTATAAAAATAGGTACTTGACCCATTTTCTGAAGTACTTTGAGACTCCAGGCAGTCCGGACTGGCATGTCCCATGGAGTGAAAAAAGAAATTCCCTCCCGAAGATGCCGGTTCTTTCCGGTCGCCTTTCCGGTCGCCGGTCGCCTGCCACTGCACCACGTTCTTCCCGCGAGAAGACGAGTTCACGCAGATCCGCCACCACTTCAGGTCACGTCTTTCAAGGAGTTCACAAGGAGGCACAGATGCTCCAGCTTCTTGAACGACTTCAATGACTGACACGGACCGGTTTCTGACTTGGACATGTGTTGTTGTAAGGGTTCTGGGCCCACGCGGGTATGTTTTTCGGGTATTATTATGAGCATTTCTGTGAGAGGTTGAAGAACCTTGTAGACTATCCCAGTTCGGTACCCCAGAATGGTCCTATTTCAGGTCACTTAACCTAGCTCTCTTGGCATTTCTGTGAGAGATGTGCTTTTTTTGTTTTCCTTGAGACCCCTCAAACCCACCCCAACCATCTTCTCAGGAGGTGGTTGGAGCCCTAGGGATTATGAGCATTTTTGTGAGAGATGTGCTGTTTTTTCCGTGATGTTCTCTTCTTCGATTCCAAGGATCTTAGATCGCTTTCGGGCGGAGCTCCATCGCGTCTCTGCAGAGATTCAGCGGAGGAACCAGAAGCGACTGCACGATCCAGACATGGGCTTTGAAAATGTGCACGCAGATCCCAAGATCGTGGAGTGTTCAGTAGCGGTTTAGAGAGAAGACAAAGTGATCAGTTCAAAGAACTGAGAGGACAGTGGACATGAAATGCAATGTAGTTGAAACGTGTTGAAGAAGCAGACAATAGATTTCTTGTACAGTCGGCAGTCACAGATTGTGACGCGAAGATTCGCCCAAGATAGGGTAGAGCAGAGCATAGTTGCAGCAAAACTCTGAGCGAGGGCCGGGGCAAGCCAAATGCTCAAAGCAAGCTGGATGGAAGTTCACGTGTTTGTTGTCATGTGTCCCTTTTTCACTAGGGGTCCAATATGGGGCACCATATAAACACCCAGGTGATCTCAAGCTGAAACGGTTGCCAAGTGTTGAGGCATTTGGTTCGGAGAGAGCTTTGTTTGGCTCTTCCTTTGCGACATTTTGCTACCATTGCTCAGAGCTTTGTTGAAGCATGTTCTCCTCCCCCTGTCCCTTTTGCTCATCGATTTGAAAAGGCGCTCAGATCGAGGCTCTCGCGGTGTGGTGTGTGGGTCAGGACTCTTCTTTGAGTCGAGGATTTGGACCAGATCTATGGTTGTGCCTGGGCCCCCTGTGGCTTCAGAGTTTGAGCGGGGGGACTTGACATCTCCTCTTTACATCCTCAGGATGTCCCCCTTGTTCGCCAGAGATGACTGTTCATGATTGTTCATGACTGATGTTCTGAATCGAACCATTTCAGTCGCTGTACTCAACACTCCCTGAGGGTGGCCGTGTTCCCGCAGGTCATCGGATTGCCTTACTACGCCTTCTACCTCCTTCCAGCCAGATTCTGGGAGCTCGCCGCCGGAGTCATCCTGTTCCTTTTTTGTGGCTTGGAAAGAACAAGATCAACCCGTTTGGGCTCCAGTCGTACCTCCTTAGGTATGACTGGACCCGAACATGGCACCCGGGCCCCCAGTCCCACCGAAACGAAACGAAGGTCCGACTGGAGCCCAAACGGGCAAGGAACCACAACATGTTGTTCAGTGCTCTTCAACCCAGTAGAGTCTATGGATGTGGTGGATGGGGATGGATGAGTCGGACCTAACAGCGATCGCTTCGGGTCTCTTGTGACTCATCTCGCCCGAAGACGTTGGAGACTTCGTGACGTGACTCATTCACAGCCTGCGTCAGCGCATCGACTGTTCCGAAACATGTCCCGAGATCAATCGGCGATGTTGATTCTGACAATGACTCATTTGATCGCTGGAAAGGCGCCAAGAAGGACACGGTGATCTCTGACATGTTGAGACGTCAGCCAACACTTTTGCTTCTTTTGCAGTCGTGGACAGCTTTGCTGTTCTTGTGCCCTGGCAGCACGAGAGCAGTCTGTGTTTGGTCACGCAGGTCTTTCTGGCGGAATGCCTTGGCTTCGGATTCAGTTGGAGAGGGTACCCATCCTTTGGACCAACTGGCACTCCACCCAACGGCTTAAATCGCGCCGCCCGTGTTTCCGCGTGAAACCACGTGCACGATCGAAACGCCGCGTTTCCACCTGGCTCTCTCCGGTGGAGGGTGGCCTTTCTGGTGAAGTTCGAAGAGAAGAGCTTCCCACTGCCTGGAGCTTTGATGCCTGCGCCCCGACGGCGTGGGGAAAAGGCGGCCGCACTCGAACTGGGGTCCAGAGCGGACCGGCACGCCGGGACAAAGAAAGGGCAGGAGATGCAGGAAAACCAGTGGGCGAATCCAAAAAACTGGTCTATACCCATGTCTACCGTGATCCACACTGCTTTCTTTGGGGCGGTTTTGTGATTGAATATGGAGAACAATATTCCCATAAATCCAAATACCTCCTCAGAAGGTATTGGACCCTCAAAACCCACCCCCGTCCCACCTTCTCAGAAGGTGCGACCGGAGGCTAAACGGGTATAGGTTTGCTATGGCCCTCAGACTCTGTTCCATTGGACACGTTGTGTTTTGTGTTTTGGCGGGGCTCTTGGGACGTTAACTTCAGATCCCAGAACCCGAGACGCTACGAACGGGGCTCCTGGCCTTACTCCTAGTCTCTAGAGCTCCAACCACCTCCTGAGAAGATGGTTGGGGTGGGTTTGGGGGGGTCTAACCACCTCCTGAGGATATGGTTGGAGCCCTAGGGAGTATCTAACAAGCTTCGCGACTCGAACGGAGCATCGGCCGCGTCGGCGCGTGGGGGATGAAGAACGGAGCGAGGAGGACGCCACGTGTTACTTGCATTCGACCCAGGGCCCATTGGGAAAAGACCTGAAACTCTTCCAGTCCTATCCGTCTGGTCGGAATGAGAGACCTAGTACTGCAGGTCCCAGGTCACCTCGCCCCACCTGGAAGGTGGAAAATCGGTCGCCGTCGACCCATTGGGGAAGAGATTCTGGGGATCTCTCATAGTGATGCCAGGAGCCCCGATCGTGGCGTCCTTGCTCCTAGTAGTGGCCAGGAGCCCCTAAGCCTAGTAGCTTCTTTGTTCCTGGTAGCTTCTTGTTACTAGCAGTATGGCCAGGAGCCCCTAGTAGAATCCTTGCACCTAAGATGTACATCTGCAGATGCTTTGTTTACAGTACCCAAGAAACAAAAGAGCATTTATTTGTTGTTCCGCATATCGAAAGTCGACGTACCAAACATGCATCCAACTGGTATGTTAGGGCGTTGGGACGCGCACGTATTTGAGGTGATCGGAACCGTGTGCTTTATCCTGTGTGGCTTCGCACCCTTCTCGCTGCTCAACAAACTGCTTAGTGTTGGTCCCATGGTCTTCATTGGAGCCTTGGAATGCCAACGAAAGAAGACGAATTGGTCCAAACCACCGGGTGACCTTTGCTGATGGCAGTTTCTTCTGCATCGGGTCTTAAAGGTGCTTAAAGGTGCGGTGATAGGGATGATGTTTCATGAGTGTAGTGGCAGCCATGGGCTTTGGTGTAGTGGCTTGTGTAATGACTTGATTTCAGGACGGATATCTTACTGCATTTACCTGAGCCTTGTTTGCATTTCAGATTTTTCAGATTTCAAGCATGTCCCTTTGTTTGTTTCAGTCACGCAGAAGAGGAACGAGTGCAGCGTTTTTTCTTTGCAGGATTCACCCATTCTTGACTGATCAGTTCACATGTTGGCAGCGAAACTCACACCGTTTTACCTCTTTTACCTCAAAAACGGGCCCAGATCGATCGATGTCCCACCCATTGACCGTGAATGGTTCGATTGAACATGCTGGTGATACTGGCAACTCGATTGGTTTGGAATTAAGGCGAACTCTTAGAAGTTGACATCCCTAAGAATCAAGGACCCTCAGTAGTCTCATTTCGGTGAAGGTTTGGTTCGGGTCCCAATCCCTGCGTTCTGGTCCAAACCCTCCAGAAGTGGTCAGGTCCAATGATTCCAAAGGGGATGGTTTTTTCCCTGGACCCTGGACCCTGCGGGGTCTCCTTAACTAAAGCCTAACAAAGCTCCACCTCGCAGTCCTCCATCCGTCGCGGTCCTCCATCCGTCGCTCTGCTCATCGCGGTCCGGCAGGTGGCACGTTCCGGTCCTCTCGCTGTGCCGCTGGCTCACGCTTGGTGGCTCGGTCTGGCAGACAGGGACGGCACGGGAAGTGCCAGCAGGTGTAGCTGTAGCTGTCAGGTCAGTTACCCGTTTGGCCTCCAGTCGTACCTTCTGAGAAGGTGTTTGGTGGATTTGGAGGGTCCAGTCATACCTGCTGTAGGGTTACTAAGAGGAAGGTCATGGAGTCATGCAGCCAAAAAGAATGAAGTTACTATGTCCGTCCCCCCCAGGCTGTGGTGTCTATGAGCCCGGCCCTTGAGTCAAAGAGGTGATTGGTGAAAAACCACCCCGACCAGGTGATGGAATCGGAGTTGCAGGACGTGACAACTTCGGTGTTGACAGGGTCTATAGAATGATTAGAAGGTCAGTAAAGGGAATCCAACATTGCGCACTAAGAATCCGAACGGGCTCTCCATGGCAGGGGTCGGACCTTCTCCACCGAAACCCAGGGGGTCCGGACCCTCACAAACCCGATGTGTTGCGAACCGGGCCCGGATTCTTAGGGTGGATGATTCGTCCAGGTGAATCGCGTGGATGAGTCGGAAGGTCGGTCATGCTTGAAGTTGTTTCAATCTGCAAGGCCTGAAACCATGGGCTTTCAGCCTTGAGAAGTGCTTTTCGGTCAAAACATGGCTGAATTTGACATGAAGCAATCTTCTACCATCGTCACACATTGTGAATGTCCATCCACTGTCGATCAGACTTAAGTGAACAATTCCAGGTGGTGAGAGAGACAGCAGAAGAGCTCAGCAGCACTCCAGAGCTAAGGAAGTGAAATGCCCATGGCACTGCGACTCTTCACCTTGCTTCCAACGTCACTTCTAGCGATTGCCACGCACTTCTTCGTGGAGGCACCACTGAGAAAGCTGCACCTGGGCGGGCTTTTGATCTGTTTTTGCGCAGCGTTTCACCACCAAAAAGGCCGGCCCAAGGCCACGGCCAAGGCGTTCGTTCGACCCACGGCGGTCTACACCATTTTTTTGCTTAGAGACCTCAGTAGCGACGGCGCCGCCACGCCGGAGAGCGACACCGAGGCAAATGTCCTCCAGATGGGCACTGATCACCAGCTTCATCGCAAGCATTGGAGCCGCGCTCTTCTTGCTCCTTGGTCGACGTGAGACAGACGGGAGAGAAAACGATAGAAAACTGTTCGATGTGCACGTGCGTATTCCGTGTCATTCATAGCTGCTCCAATTTTGCGGCAGACTGTGCTTGCTCGCATGCTTGTTTTTGTTGATTCTTGCGTTGGATCTTTAGATATTTGTAGTACCCACTGAAGTAGGGGACCTGCACCTGGGCTGCCGTGACTTCCCTAGCTGCTTCCCCTCTAGTTGGCTGCGACTCGGACCAGACGAATGAGACAAGAGTGATGTACATTGGGGTCCACCGGGGCACCGGAACACCCCATGGTTCCACTCACCTGGACGAAAACCAGTACTGGTGCAGCTCAGACTCAGGCAAAACAGTCAGACGTTAGGGTGCCATTCTCAGGTTCCTTGTATACTATGTACTGTATAGTGCCAAGGCTGTTCCACTCGGTTCCACTTCTTTTCCGGTTCTATGTCACTTTGCAGGGTTCCCACGTCGAGTTTTCGGGATCCGTTGTAAATCCCTTACTTGGCCTTCTGTCGCACCTTCGGTTCCAGTGATACCTTCTCCGGAGGACGAGGTACGACTGACTGGAGGTATAGGGGAGTGTAAAGACGTTTGTTTCACTCTTAGCAGTCTCATGGGTGGGTGCCATGTTCGGGTCCAGTCATACCGAACCGGAGGCATGACTGGAGGTATAGGGAGTGTCTGTTTAACCCTTAGCAGTCTCATGGGTTGTGTCCGGGAAAAAAAACACCATCTCCTCAGGGTCTTGCTCTTGGTGATTCGACACTCCCTGGGCGACAGCACCTTGGGCGAAAGCGGTCGACCACGGTTCCGCGAACCAAGCTTGGGTGACCGGCGGGAGGTGTTCGGAGGCGGAAAACCGTGCCGTTTGGCTCGGGCTTTGCAGGGTCGGAAGGTTCTCTGACAGTAGAGATGACATGGTATACCCAGATGCGACCCGACCAGGCCCCGAATCCAAACTGGTCAGGGGGACCCGAATCCGAAGTGGTCAGGGGTCTGGGGTCGAAGCAAATGCCTATAGGTTTTGAGGGACCCAGTCGGGCTGTGAATGGAGCGTCTGGGTCACATCCGATAAGAGGTGGAGAAACATCAAGGATGGTTTGGCGGATCAGGTCGAGTTTTTATTGCCTCCTTCTGAGTAACTCCTCGAACCTGAGGAATATATGTTCTATGTTTCCCAGGTTCCTTAAGAAGCAAATCCGAGGGATTGTAGTCCAAAAGCATGGCGGGTTTGGGTGGACTTTGCGGGAAAGCAGGGATTGTGATTTCTGCTATGTGTGAACAACGGTCATAGGAGGCTGGCCAGCAGGGCAATGTTGCTTGAACCAGTGGTGTGATGCTGAAGAGGAAGAGTTCCCAACCAATGGGGTGCTAGTAGACTATATGACTGTGTATTACAGATGGTTCTGTTTGATGCCTTTCTACCCGGGATGCTCCACAGGTTCAAAAGAATCCTCACAGGTTCTGCTCTTTCATCTGTGCAGATTCGTCCGGTCCATCTGGCCTTGTCACGTCACCGAACCACGTCCGTATCAGAAGAACAGGCCTTTGTGGTTGAACGATCGATGGCCTGGACGTGTGGTTTGGATGCGAAGGTTTGGTTTGAAAGGGGACCTTCTAGAGGATTCAATCAGGAATTCCAGGATCGCAACCCCAACCCCGGATGCTTCAACACAGCAGGCGCCTGTGCAGAGCAACACAGCCAACACGCCTAGCCTATATAGATGCAATCAATTCTTCTCTCAAACGTTGGTGGTGCCCCAATAATCCACTTGGAACCGATGCATTCCGAATCAATTTGCAGATCAGCCTCTCGAGGCTTGACCCAATCCATGGCAGAATGAAGAAACAAGGAACCAAACACCTTCTCCCTCACCCGATGAGTGTAAACTTGGCCCAATCAATCAAACAACATCCACTCATCTTCTCCACACAAGTTCTAAGATGCATGAGTTCATGCTGATTTCATGCCTGAAGATGCACATGCAGACCGACTAGCCTCTTCAATTCGAGGCTACTTTTTGTGGCTGGCGTGTGTTGCCTTGATGTCCTTGTTGGTGATCTTCGTGCTCTTCTCCTGCCAAACGGAGGAGCGGCCAGGGTCGCGTAGTGCCCTGGGTGCAACTTAGTGCTGGTTTTGGTTTCATTTGGAGGGTTTCAAACCAAAGAACAAAGCAGTCGTCACAGCACAACACTAAGCATCGACCCCCAAACGATAGACAAGTACATGCCCACTAAAAGGTGTTTAAAACCGTGCCACTATCTATTAGCGGATCACTCTATTATACTGTATAGTTTTGTCCTCTTTGGATCAACTTCCCCGGAGGTTCTTCGAAGCTCAAAGGGTCTCGACCAGTCCAAGCGATGGAAGTCGTCCACTCAGTAGCCTTCCTGACCGCACCATTCATTGACCCGTTTGGGGCTCCGAACGGCCCATCAGAGCTCAGGTGACCGGTACCCACCCCTGGCCCACCTGGTGGGCCAGGCCCTTTCTCAGCCGGGTTCCCGCACTAGAAAGCCAGTGCGACCGACCTTCTCATGGGATCACAGTTCATGGTCCCAAGCAACAAGTCCTCCAAGCGAAACCTCCAACCGTTCTGGACCGGGAGACAAGGGTCTCCCTCAGCCATTAGGTCAAGCACCCCAATGTCTGGAAAGAGTATGACATATTCCATAGATGGAGTGTCTGGACATGAGACAGGCAAATGATGCCCATGTCCCTTGCCTTTGAAGGCCCCTTAAAGGGGCCATGTGTGATCAGAACCCCTTGGTCAGTTTGCGAAAAAGGACGGACATGTGAGCGACCAGCGTCTGCAAGTGTTGGGGATCAAGTCTGCAGGTCCTGATCTTTGAAAGCAACCTACCCAGGAAAAGTGGGTCACCTGCAAGACCTTGCAAAACCTTTGTGGGTGGTGGCTTTGTCATGGTTTCTCCACTAAGCAGACACCGGTGGAAAAGGGGTCAACCTCTATTTTCCAGACACAGTGAGGGGGTCAGGCAAAACTCACCAATCACCGCAACACTGAGACCTTTTCATGTTCATTTGCATCCTGGTTTGCGCTGCCTTCGGTTTGACGTGTCCTAGCTGCAGACTGAAACTATAGCCGCATGCAGGTGTAAGCTATGCTGTATGGGCCGGTCCGCCTTGGGTGTGATGCATTTAATATCAATCCATTACTTGGGCTAGTAGGTTGGAGGCCATCACTATTGGGTTGGAAGCCATCGCTGCAAGGTTGGAGGCCATTTGTTATAGGGTGTAGGCCATTGCTATTAGGGTAGAGGCCATCGCTATTAGGGTGGAGGCCATGGCTACCGTTTGTTTGTTGATGTTTGTTGTATAAGCCGGAGGGTTCAGGTTCTAGAGTGCTGAATGTGGTATGTAGCTCCTGCGATAGTGGCGTTGTTGATGTTCTTTGATCAGGACCCATGGCTACACCGAATATTCAGTTGGTCTTGTGGAAAAAATCATTGCACAGGCAAGACCGCCTTGTTAATCCACATACAAGAAGACCTCGTAGAATCATAATGTGCGTACAATGTTACAAATGATGCATCAGAATCAAGTAAGAACATTCACGTACCTTGTTGGTGCAGGTACAATATGACCTTGCTGTAGAATGTGCCTTGCCTAATCCCGTTACAAAAGAGACCGTTGCGATACCCCTCGACTTCTCGTTTCGTTTCGCAGGTACAACATTTACCACGACAATGCTGGACTGCACTCTGCACAGCAGGTCATGGTGAATCCACGTGTGACCTGGCAGTCGAAAGACCATGAAATCCGAATACCCTACAGTTCCAGGGAGAGTTAAGCCTATGGCTCTATGGATCTGCCACCACCTTCTGGGATTTTGCCCGGGCAGTCTCCGGACGCCCTTCCCTGCTCACTCGGAGTATGTCAATGTCAATGTGGGTGAAAACAGATCAAAACCTTTGAACACCATTTGTCATTCTGAGTGGTGAGGCAAACACGCCAAACGAAGTGCATCGTGGTAAGTCTGGTCAGATGAAAAGGAACGCCTTGCTTTCTCCACTCACATGAAGAGGGAGCTGTTTATTGCTTCTAGAGGGAGATAGAGGGAGCTTAGCAAGATAAACTCCATGGTCTTTGCACCTGCCCAGCCTAGGCTGAAGCTGAGCGTTGCTTGGAACGCTGATCAGTGGGAACTACAAAGAAGTTAAGGGAGCACAGGTGGGTCTGACACATGCTGCAGTGCAAAAAAACAAAAATAAGTCTTCAAAAGTTCAATAAATTGCCAGTGATGACGAGTCCAAGCCTTGTCGGCACTGCACTCTCTGTGATACAACCGGAGTGTCACCGCACTCTCAATCCCGACGTGTGCACCAGAAATTTGTCACGACATGTCACGAGAAGCTCCTAGTACAAGTAGCGTCCTTGCTCCTAGTAGCTTCCTCTACCCCGCCAAGAACTACTCAAGGAAGGTTTCCTCGGCTCACCAGGAAAGACCAGGAATGCCCATTCTTTGCCTGGTCTGCAAAAAAATGCATGACTTCTCCCCTTCCAGTTTCTAGTCTTTTGGGATGTCCAAGGAAGTGTTGCACCTGCTGCCGTGCAATCTTCATGCTCTTTGGCTGCAGAAAACCGAATGCACCAGCGACATGACGCAGAGAAGCCCAGTTCCACTGACCATACGTAGAGGGAGAAGCCCAGTTCGCCGACGGGCACGGGGAAAAGGGGGCAGTTCGCTGTCGCTGTTTGGGTCGATCCTCGCGTCCCCGAAGCACGAACAGATCAGCACGAACTATCAGTCCAATCAGGACCCTTCATGTCGGCCTGGTCGGTTTCCCGTTTTGCAGTCGTGCTGCTCGAGCGAGGTACAGTGTGCAGCTGCGCGAGCGAGGTGGCTCGGCAAGAAGATGTTGTCGACGTTGCTTTTTTGTTCCACTGCTTAACCTGAAAGCACGAACTTCTCTCTTGCGATGTTGAGTGGACTTTACCTCAAGGTTTCAACACTTGCAAAATATGTGATAGATTTGCAAACTATCGGCCTTCTTTAGAGGGCAGGGCATCGCCCAAGGACTTAAGGGCTTGCAGGTTCTTCTTCTGCAAGACGGCAAGTCCTTGGAATACTGACCTTCAAAGTTCCGGGATGTTCGGAGCATGTTCCCGTTCACTGGCGCGCACTTTCGATAGGGGCGCCAACCCCCGTGTTTTCAAGCTGCAGTTCTGGGAGACGGAAAAAACTTAGACACTCCATGGGACTATCTACGGATTGAGAGTAGATGGCACAGATCCCAATGTCGGTGATTTATATGGACCCCCATCTATATATAAAGGACATCTTGGGGTTTGTGCCATCTACTCTGAAACCACTGTAGATTGACCCCGCCAGGTCAACCACCGATTGGTCGACTTGTTTGTCTCGTCGATACGTCACAGCTCCGTCCCTTCAAGAGCCAAACCCCGGACCATTCACCGGCCGACCGACCGCGGTTCGCTTCGCGGTTCGCTGAGACCTTGACCTATCACTTGCCGCCCGAGAGCTGCACGCCACACGCGTGGAGTTGTGACCGACCACAGGTGCCATGCTTTCAAGGCCGGGACGGCATGGATGACGGCAAGTGTGAAGGATCATGGCACATGTCTTATATTATATTCAGGCCCCATGTCGATCTCAAAGTTCCAATGAATTTGTTGGTCAATGACCTTCAATTACCAACATATTGGGGATGCAACGTAAGCAACGTCGGTTGAGCGGACGTCAGCGAACCCGGATCGTTGGCGAGTCCGGGACGGACAGCGGGACGGACGGAGGATTGGTCGAGAAGGTGGGACTTCGGGGGTGGCAGTCCAGTCCTATGAGAGGTCCACGCTGGCGTTGATCCAGGCAGATCCTGGCCACATGCGGATTGGGCAGAATCGAGGGTTAGGGACCATCTTCTGGTTGGTTCGGAAAGAGGTTCAAGGGCAAGAGGTCCCTCTCCCTCCTTTTTAATCGTCAGAGATTTGGTCCATCGCGACAGCATGCCTAGAGCATTCATCTCCAATCGATCCACATGTCCTCTGAGAGGATGGGCAGGGAGACACTTTTGATGTAGACAGTCCAAGAGGGTCCATCTGAGAAGGTGGATCCGTGTTGCTCCATCGAGTTCGAATGCTTTGGAGTGCCTCTTCCAACCTTGAACTCATGGGACAGTCGACTGGTCACACGTGGATTCACCATGACTCCATCTCACTCCTTCCTGCTGCAGGAACGCCTCTGGCCGAAAGCGACTTCCAGCCGCACGTGCCTTGGGTGACGCCCACCCATGGCCCTTCAGGGTGTCCCTAACACACCCATACACACACCCCAAACCCCTCGATTTTGAGACAAGTTGCACGTACATAAGGATCATATAAGGCCTAGAATGGTCAGGGTCTCTGCCAAAACGGTGCCTGGACTAGACCTTAACCGCCCGATGTTTCCAGGGTGACCGAGATCTCGGCACACGGTGAGACGGGAGACAGGCGCGCCCGGACCAATGCCAAACGCCCATCAAACCACTTCGAGGGAGACTTTGATGAATCGTAGACCTCGAACTGGCCAAGGCCAGGCCAGGTCGGATGGATGCCACATCGGACCCCTTGGCTGGGTTGCCCATATATATAGCCAGGACACCTCTAGTCAAGGTGGGGCCCATCTTTGTCAGGTGGACCGACCAACCCAACCCGCTGAACACGTCGATCCAGCCTCGGGTCCTGTGTCCCCCGACCTGAGGGTCGACCCCCAGGTGCCTTGGGGTCATGAGAATTGCCTGGGCGCCGCCATGTCCGAAGACGAGATCTTGGCTCGGTGCTTGGTGCCCGAGCAAAAGCGCCTCTTGGCCAAAACGAGGGCAAACACGAATGGCCAAATGACAGTGGTGTCGGGTTCACCATGTCTAACATCGCCTTGTAATTCGGACTACTCCGAATGCTGTGACCGCTCCTTCAAGGTTTGGCATTTTACAAGCTCAGGCCCTTGCTAGGACATCATAGTCATAGCGCGTGATGCAGTCCAAGAATATCCGATGTGCTTTTGCCCTGTCATTGTGCATGGGCATGCTGGAGCAAATCCTCAGGGGACCTGTTCTGGTGCTTTATTTGTATCACGTGGCCGAAAGTCAACAGGCCTGGTGTCCCATCAGTTCTGGGCCGAATTTCACGGTGGGTTTCGTCCAAGGCGTCTCGGGCTTGGTGAAGCTGGCCTCGGTGGCTCCAATCGCTTGGCTCGTGGATTCGGTCCCTGCTCATCGGGTGCGGCCTTTGAGAGCTTCCCTTATCTTGGGTTTCATCACAGTGGTTGCAGGAGGCTTTTCACTCCACACAGACCATATAGTTTGGGTGACATTCTCATGCGCTGCGTGTGGTTGCTTCTTGGAGCTTGCTCAAAGTGCTTCACGGGCGATTCTCACCGACAGTATTCCTCTTGGGCAGCGTCAAGGCATTTTTGTGACCCAGTGGGCTTGCTTCCTCATAGGCTCAGCCAGCGGGCCATTTCTCGCAGCAGTTGTCATTCTTGTTTCAAAGAGCGCAGAACAGGCACACTCCATCCAAACCGACAACCTTCCGGTGAAGCTTGCCCTTCTATGTGGTTTGATGGTGGTGATTCCTGCAGCAGGAGTCATTTTCAACTTCACGGATCCGCCCGCAGAAGTTGAATATAGGAGCGTAGACGTTGTGAAGCATGTTGTGCAGCGAATGCGCTGTGACCATGTGGTGCCCATGTTATGCTTGGCCTTCAATCTCTCGACCACAATTGCAGGTGGCATGGTGGTTCCTTATTTTGACCTTTTCTTCGTGAATGATGTCCACTTGTCGCTGGTTTGGGTCAACCTGCTGGAAGGCTTTTCGTTTTTGATGGTTGGTCTATGCAGCAAAGATGCTGTGGGCGAGCACTCACTATGCTTTGTTTTTTCACTGTGTGTACCGGAGTGACTTTCTCACTTTCCTTCGAGCTGCCAACGCCAATAATCGTAGTTTTTTTCCTATTCCGTCGTGGTGTTGGAAGCTGCTGCCTCAGGCCACTCAACGATTCCATTGTCGCTGATTACACAAACTCAACTCGGCGGGGCATGTGGAACGCTCTGTTGAGCGTAGGAATGGCAGGTTGGGCTGGTGCTGCGTTACTTGGTGGTGTCATGGCAGATGCACATGGCTACAGTTTTGTCATTTTCGTCACATCAATGATCTATGCCGGGTCTCTTTGCTTCCTTCTGCCTTTGGTAGGATTGGTGCCGCGCAAAGTGGACACAGCCACTGAGAAGAGCCAAACAACACGCACTGACACGTCAGAAAGCTCCTCTTGAATCGCTTTGTAGCCTGAGCTGCTCCCACTGAGGTCTTTGATGTTCATTGAAATTGGCATGACTTGGAAACCAGTTTTGGGCCTTTTTGCACGCAACCTCATGTTCACCTGGCCGTGGCACTGTTTGCAACGTATTTTTCCTCAAGCATAGAGAAGCAAGCGGGTACACATAAAAGGGAAGCAACAATTAAATTGTTTATCCAAATAGATCAAACAGTTCGCTGGCGGCAAAGTGGGGGCATTTGAGGGGCAACCTTAGCTACAAATCTCGCCATTTTGAGGCCATCGTGTACAGCTGTACAGTTTTGAGGCTCACAAGGAACAGCGTTTAGTTGCGAATCTTGACTAGCTGTTCATTAATTTTGTGACCCTTAGCCCAAATTGTATAGATGTCATTGAGGGAATGAGGCCATCGTGTACAGCTGCCCATTTCAAGCTTGAGGCTCACAAGGAGCAGCCTTAGTTGCCAATCTTGACTAGCTGTTCATTTTGTGACCCTTAGCCAACTCCCAATTTGTACAGATGTCATCGAGGGCAGGAGGTCAAAGTTTTCACGAAAGCTAGCACAAGCTAGCTGGAGTTGTTCTTGCTTCAGCAAGTGAGGGGCTGGAATCCTCGAGAGTGCCGCATCGCGTGAAAACTTCATATTTTGGTGCAACATGAAGACTTGAAAGCATAGATCATCGCGCGTGCAATCTCATGATTCATTTCACATTCAACACCGCACAAGCATGTACTTCTTTGATTTCATCCTTACACGCTGACAGGAACCATATGGCTGATTGGTGATTCCCATTCCTTCGCACTGGTACCTTGCATCTCGATGACTGCAGATGCACTTGGCATTCCTGCTTCTCGTCTTTCGCAACTTCACTGGCCTCACCGGGGGGCCGGGCACGTGTCACGTTCGTAGTTTCTTCTTCCTAGTGTTCGTAGCGTCCGACCGCTCCGTTCGTAGCGATGCCCCTTGTTCCCAGTAGAAACGCGTCATTAGCTCGATGAAAAACAGGTGGTACGCGGCACGACCGCGGCGCGACCGCGGCGCGACCGTGGCGCTTCAGGTCACAGATTTCGAGCGAGTTCGCGGTCGGAGAGTCCCATTCAGTTCGGGGGGAGCCGGAGCGATGGGGCCAGGTGTGTCACTTGTTCAAATCTTGTTTCCCAGACATGACCCATGGGACTGCCGGACTGCCGAGAAACGGCCAGGGGTGGTGGGGGGTCAACTGGCATAATACATGGAGTGTTTGGGTTTGTTGTTTGTTTGTCATGTGTTTTGCTGATGTGTTTTGCACGTGTTGATTGGCACCGCTGAATAGCGAATTGAAGTCCTGAATGCGCGCAGCCCGCCTGAGGTTCACAACTACAGTTGGCCAGCGCATCATGCGTGCAAAGCTCAGAACAAGGACCAAATTGAGCCCTGTGAGTCTTTGATCTATCACTGCAACATATGTGCACAGTGCATGTCCGGCACGTGACAAGTACCGTTTTTGCTTCATTAATAAGCTCTGCAGTGACCCACTAACATTGAAGTGGAAACCTGGCCTTACTGCTAGGAACAAGAAGCTAGCAGCTATAGTAACAAAGGGCATCGCTACTAGGAGGAAGGACGCTACTCGGGAGTGTAGCGCGGTCTGGATTGAAAAAAGACACCATGCTCCGGGCCTTTGATGTGCGCTTGACTGGGTCTCAATTCACCGCAAAAACCCAGAGTCGCAAGTTCTTTGACCGGTCGCTACGACCTCGGTCGCTACGACCTCGGTCGCTTGACATGTTGTGAACGAGGTGCGATATGGATTGGTCCAAGATCTTCAATGTCTTGGAAGTGAGGGTGAACCCAGGAGACATCGTAGCTTTTTCCACTTGCTTCTATTGCATGGAGTGGTGTGCCTGGACGGCAGCGGTCTCTTTTTCGACGGTGCCAAGTTCGGCGGTCGTTTGGGGATGTTTTGGGAGCAGAGGCACCTGGAGTTTCAAAGTATACCTGTTTTTGTAGGGTCATGTCACGTTTTCTAAGGTACTTGAAGTCGGTTGCGAAGTGCTACTCTTTGCTGGGAAGACGATGTGACACTTATTCACCGCCTGAATCCACCTTGTTCATCAGTCATGTTTTTAACGGCGGAGCAAGCATGGAGCCCCAGAAGTTCGCTTTCAGAACCAGATCCGAACGAACGTGCCGAGCGTCACAGCGTCCTATCCCGTGGCACCATCATGGCACCATCCACATGCCTCCCTACATATTCCAAGTAGCCTCTCAGAAGCTACTTGGACCCTCCAAACCTACATTAGTGCTATTAGGTTGGAGGCCATCGCTAGCAGGTTCGAGGCGGAGGCCGTTGCTATTAGCTTACAGTGTCTCCGTCCTCACCGTACCTGAGGTACGGTACGACTGGATCCCAACGGGCCAGAATCATGGGCCAACATGGCTGGTACCACCTGCGTGGTGTTCGGTTTCGATTCCTCATCTCTATGGGGTTGTCCCATGATGCTTGTCCACATACATCCCGGATAGGATCCAGTCGTACCCTCCTCCTGTTCGGTGGGACGACCGGGGCCCGTGTGCCATGTGAACTGGTCTCGTACCGAACCTGAGGAGCTACGATCCACGGAGTCTTTCGCCCACCCGGCCCACGCTTCCCCGCGCCGTCGGCTTCCATTCTCCTCACCCGGACCCGACGAACGTGGACGGTTGGTCCGTCCACGGTTGGTCCACGAAGCATGGAGATCGGACGCGGTCCGAGGTTTGCCACACTTTGAAGAGCTGATCCAACGCTTGGTGGCCTTTGTGGGAGTGAAGAATGCCACACGGTCTGATCAACGGGCACCGCAGCGAAGGACGGGACGTTCGTTCTTGCAAAGGATACTGCTTTGTAATTGCCTTGGTTTGCTCTCGTAGGTGTCGAATGACCTGTGTAGGCTAGTTGGCCCCGATTGTGACATGAACTCATAAACCCTATAGGATCCTCTAGGCTTCCAACCGCCATTGATTTACTCGTCCTTACCGCACAACCATGGTTTTACTCGGTATTTTACATTACAAAACCACTTGGACCTTTCTTTTGATGGTCTACGAACGGGTGGGTTCAGACCTGGAATTCTGATTGAAAGCCGCAGGCTCTGATTGGTTCGAGGCTCCCTTCAGTCAAGTCTTGTGGTGCAAACACGGTGCCACGGAGCTGTTTGCACGATTTGTTGTGCATGTTTAGTCCTTTCAAGAACCCCCTGCTGTAGCTGTGCGGTTGGTGTCGCTGTGCAAGCACCACCATTTGCTGTAGCTTTTTGGCATTCCCACCTAATAGGATTCCAAAGTTCACTCTCACATTCTTCAGGGAGAAGGATGCCAGCAACTCACAACCTTGCTTGCCCATGTGCTGTCTTCTTCCTCACACATCTGCTTTCTATAGGCGTACAATGGCAAGGTCGATGTCTCATTTGGGAATGTACACATTGTCTTGCCACAAGAAGAACTGTACCCGGTACCCATACTGTTTGCTTCCAGGTTTGGCAAAAGGTTGGTGGACCAGCAACATTCCTATGCAGATCTCTTTGTTAACCCTTACCTCTCGCCATTCCTCCTGGCTTAGAATGCGTGCGCTTCAGCGCGGAACCGCGGATGGTGGATCCGCGCAGAACCCACGGTGACCCGCGTCCCGGATGAAAATCGGAATCTTCGTGCAACCCCCGGCGTGTCCTCTTCCACTCCGCGTGACTCCGCGTTGAAATCCGGATGTCCCCGCGGAGTCCGCGGATATCTCCGAGGCCAAGCTGTTGATCTTCAAAGATGTGCCACTCTTGAACCACAACTCCGTGAATTGTTGCTTGGAGTAGAGGTCGAAGCGGGGTTGAGAACCCATGTCCTCCGGCAGGGTGGCCAGAGGTTCGGGTCCTGGAAAACACCGTCAGTGGTGAAGCGTCCTGGACCTTCCAAGGGGGGTTTCAATGGAGATCCATGTGGGGGGGTTCTTCCACTGGTGACCCCGACAGGTGCTGGTATAAACCACCCGCACTGTGTTGGTGCTGATGTTAACCGGTGCTAGCTCGACACCCATCTCCCGAAGCTTGGGTTTGGGGTGGTTCATGGGCACCCCGAAGCATCGCTTTTTTCAGGGCTATGAATCAACGATAGACACCCCTTGACTGACTGGGGCCCTGGATGGACTTGGTTTCGACTGGGTCAGCATATGGATGAGGGTGGACAAAATTGGGTGTGTTCCAAACACGACCGCCATTTGGGGGACTGTCAATATATGCATATACTGGGGATGGTTTTGATGTTGATTCCATTTGGGGGGGGTATATCTTCCAGTCCCAGACATCTCCGTTTTAGGCCGATCCTCCAAACATGCCACGCACTGGTCCGACTGGCGTGTGACAGTCCGATCTGGAGCTATAGAGATCCGACATTGCCAGTTAGTCAGGGTATCAAACTGCGACTTGGCCGGTGTTTTTGGAAACACCCAGACGCGACCCTGGGCCCTCATATGGAGGGGTCGGATCCTCATATGGAGGGGTCTGGGTCTCAATTCCCTAGGTTTTGAGGGGCCAGTCGGGCTGTGAACGGAGCGTTTGGGCACAACCAAACGAGTGACCAGTTCGGTACAGACTGGAACAACGGTTCGAAAAAAAGCAATGACAACCGGTGGCAACACGAGGAGAACAGCGGCAGTTGCAATGCAACATGCAACAATCAATGGCAGCAGCCACCGCCTCAGCAGCGGAAAAGCAAACTGAATTATAAGCAACAAGCGAGCTACAATGACGCAATGAAAAGCTGCCACGGAAACAGCAATGACAAGCCAGGATGACGTAGGTGCATCCGTCCTTCCAGCAAATCATATATATCGCTAGTAGTATCGCTGGTCTTTCTTTGGGCCTGCAAGACTCTTCGGCCACTCTCAACGGGAGACCTGGATTGGCTCATTCATGCTTTGCAGATGACTCAACAGCTCTTGGACCACAATTTTGGACCCAGTCCAACCTCATCCAGACCCATCACCGCCACGCCACCCCTATGAATCACCTACACCCCTGCCAGCCGCCTGTTTCGCACCCTCCAACCACCCCCTCCGTGGGACACTCTGAGGTGCGAACTCGAACCCGGCGGCGCCCACGGAGTGCTCCATCAGCGCGGAACAGGCCACCGTGGACGTGAAGGAAGCGGACGATATGCTCGCAGCGCCACCTGGCGGAAGGAGGCGACTTCCAACGGCGACTTACTGGTACAGTGCTTGAGGTGTTTTCCTTTTTTCGTGAGGCGGTGAAAGACTGGGGGGGGTTGGTCAGTAGAGAGAATTCAACCGGTACGGTACCAGTCTAAGCAGGATGCGTGCTCGGCTGCTTACTTGGACCCTTCGTGCGAAAGGCTGCTCTGCTTGGTCAACCACGGAAAGACCACCCAGAAGAAAAACCAGGTCGATGCAGATCGGTGTTTTCGACGTTTCGACGGTCGGAGAAAGGATGATCCGATCAAAAAAGAAGATCGAATGCCTGTAGTGTCTCGCTGTAGTTTAAGTTTTGGATTGATTGACCCCTCAAACCACCCCAACTGATCGGCATATATGGCAGTCCCATGGAGTGTCTGGGAGTTTTGGATTGATGGTTGACACATAAAGAATCAATAAATATCCACTTGTTCACTTCGCGTTCGTGGCCGGACCTGGACCCCGATGTTCCTCAAAGTCGACCGTTTTGCGTGTGGCGTTTTCGTTTTTTCCGATCCACCGGTCATTGATCACGGCCGATGTTCTTGGGATGTTGGGCAGGGTTGGGCTGAAGAGCCGAGGGCAGCAGTGTTTCCACTCAGGTACTCCAAAGACTTTGGCATGAGCTTCAGCTGAATTCAGCGAGACCTCTGTTGGACAGTGGTGGACCCAGATTCAGACTCTTGATGAATAAACTCCACCACTTGAATTGGACATCTTTTTTCATATGAGGGGTTTATGAATCAAGAGTCTACGTTAGGGAGCGTTGGACATGCTTGGAGATGTGGTCCTGAACCTTTGCGAATCGATTTTGGTTTCGTCTCCGGTCAAGGATTCCATGCCGTGTGCAGACCCTCAGTCTTTTCACCAAAAAAAGAACTCTAAGCATCCCAAGCAGCGACATCGCGTTGATAGCTCAAATGAATTCAAAAGAACCATCCTATGGAACCTTTCACATTCGTACCCTGCAGAGGCGGATACTAAGCAAATCGTGTTTGAAGCATTCATTGCTGGCCTGGGCCTCCCACACCTCATCCCACCTCATGATGTCTCACCTAATACATCCCTTCTTCGATGTTTCGCTCCCTCCTCCCCAGTCGTCTGCTCCGTCTCCCACCACCCAATCCTCCCCTCGGACCGTCACGGTCGACCCACCGTCCCAGCTCGCGCGACCCGCCGGTCTGCCGCGCGCTGAAGACCGCGACCTGCGAGGATCGACCTCTTCTCGCCGATGTGCATGGAGGGCCGCTGCGACATCTTTGTACCTGGCACCTCGGCGGTGGCTTACGTGGATAAGACCCACATCAATCTGATCCTTGGCTTCGGTTGGCTTCGACAGACAGAAGTGGGGGGTGAAGGAGTGGGAGAGCTTCTCCCGGCGCTTTGCTTGGGTGAGAAAACACATTATACTGTAAGTAAGTGTTCATTTTTGGTCCAGTCAAGCAAGATCAATGTAATGTGTGTTTTTCTTGGTTGTTTGATGTTGTTTGATGTTCTTTTGTTTCTTTGATTTTCCAAGACGTGACGTGAAGACTGATTGTACATTACTACTGATGTCCCACAAAGCCGATACTTGAAGACTTAACAAGAGGTTTCCTTTCCCTACTGACCTACGCGTCTCATGCAGAGATTGGGGTGTTTCTTGGAGCAACAACTGGTGGTTTTCGGGCGCCCAAAGGAGTTGTCCACTATCCCATGAGCTGTTTGGGATTGGCATATTACATTGATGCGGTCAATCTTCCACTAGGTCCATGTAGGTCAAAGAATGTGTTCCACTCAGCGTCCAGTGCTTGGGGTGGACTCCAGTGCTTGGGACTGTTAGGAGTTCTGTTGCTTTTTTTGTCAATGCTCGGTGCCGCCCGGTTTTCCGGAAAGTGATGTGTGGACCATCGTAATCTTCATTTGTTCAGTTGGTTTGCTACACATAGAAACCTCAACAGCAAGCTGCTTGGGATGTTGAAAAAGTCCTTTGGGTTTGTCAGATGGGAGAAGTCAGGGGTCCCCTTGCAACATAGATTATGTTTTATATCGTTCATCAGAGAGTTTTATTGACATGTTTCGCTTCCGAAGAAGAGTACTGTGAAAAAGCTGGAACCAAATCTAAGGAATGGTTGTCATTACTTGGCTCCGTTTATTTGCTCTGGTATGCGCTCGCTCGGATACATTTGAGAGCTCCAGCAGCGGGAGACATGAAGGCATTGGATAGTAGATGATACTGTAGATGTTCAGAGATTTGAGGTGTCTGAGTCAATCCGAGTCTTTAGCAGCTTACAATCCCATGCGTCCTTTGACAGCGTTGAAGAACGCAACATCCCATCCAGGGTGAAAGACGCACAGACCTCTGAACCTTAGAGAGAGACTGAATCCGTAGCAATTGGCACAAGGACACTGCACAGGACTGGTCGAAACGGCAGACCTCAGGAGCTAGGAATTCGTGTGTTCAAGGCGTTTGCATCGAAAACCCTGAGTTGGAGTGAAAAGGTCCAGAACAGAAGCCTTGGCCCATCGGACTGCTGTGATAGTTGAATTTGAGCATTTGCAGGAACATCCGCAGGCCCAGACAAGAAAGTGTATCCAGGTTTTGCTTGAGTGAAGCAAGGAGGAGCCACGGTATGTCATGATTGTTTCATGATGATTATTTGATAGTGGATCAACTTCTAGTGACCATTCAAGCTCGTCCTTGGTCGAACATGCTGAGATGCTCTGCAAGTGCTGTTGTTCCAACTATAGCACTTGCCTGCCTTTGGCACGGGGAATGCCCGGCCTTGTTCAAGACATCGCTGGGACGATGCTGTCCCCGAAATGAAAATATATGGCTCGGTCAAGGCTTTTGTCCTTGGAGCTGTGGGGATGGAGCATGATGGAGCTGTGGGTTACTTTTAGGATCAATGTGAAGATTGGTGAGGTGAAGCAAAAAAGCTACTTTACCGTGAAATCTGTTGAATGTCCCAATTTCCTCCTGTGTGCTTTTGATAGCCTTTTGCCCATAGCAGCCTCGGTTTGAGGCACCCCTTTCAAACGACGATTCAAGAATTGATTGTTCAGACTCACTGGCAAATGGATACATTCTTGAATCTGTTTGAGGGGCATTGCTTCTTTGCATCATTTTGCATCAATGGTAGCTGGAATCGTTTGCCACAAGTGCTTGGTGTAAGCAGAGATTCTTACCAATTCAAGTGTTGCACGGAATGCCTCCATGTGCTCAAGAGCATTGGAAGCCTTTATGGTTCGATCCTGGAAAACTACCTCATTGCCTTGAGCCAAGGGATCCAAGTTAGATGAGGCAAATCAAACGTTCTTGCCTCATCCCGGCGCCATGCGGGACCCACCCAACGCCGGCCGTGAGGCCTTGGCGGCCTCGTTCGATCTGGAGCCCATCGGCGCAAAGCTGGTCAGGGCTTCGGCCAGGGGCTTCCAGAATGGAAGACGCTCCTGGCAGGGACTGCGCCATGGCCTTTCCAAAGACTTCAACGGCGGCGATTCCGGGACCAAAGAAGAAGAAAAGGAGGGTGAAGCGAAGCGCCGGCCATTTCGGATTTTTATCTGATCATGGGAGGTCAGACTATGGGCCGACTTAGGGCCTAGGGTCTGCTTGATGCTGGATGCTTTCATTATCCCATTATACCTCCAGTCGTACCTCCTCAGAAGGTATGACTGGACCCTCCAAACTCACCCCAGTCGCACCTTCTCAGAAGGTGCGACTGGAGGCCAAACGGATATCGAGATGTGTGGCCGCAGCAATTTTGTGACCGAAGAAACTCCATAGTGATGTGTTGCGGTGGAAGTTCCGTGGCACTGTGGTCTACCCCAGATGCGAACAGAAACGCACGCGCACCTCATGGGTAGCATGAACGTTTAGTGGAGCCTTTTGGGGTTGTTTGCATCGTGACCTCTATTGTCCAAATGCCATGGATGCTGCATCCTTCGTCCAGGTCAACGCAAGCTTCATCACTCGCGAAGTTCCGAAACGCGTGACCTCAAGGGGCTCCTCAAAGGCTTCAGCTTCAGCCTTCGTAGGTGTCCTGGCTTGGACAAGTCGTGCCTGCTGGGCGCCAGAGGTTCCCTTTCTGTGTGAATTCTCGGTGTACTAGGGAAGATGTGTTTACCTGTCAGGTTATTGTTATTTTTACATGGTTTCATATGTTCCTAAGAGTTCTTGCACATCCAAGGTTTGGCCAAGATTGGCCAGGACTATGGCTGGCTTTGCAAGGTGCAGATGTTTTCCACTTACACCGGTTTAGCTGCCATGCTGCTGGCCTGCATGTACTATGGTTGTCCTGCGAAACAATCCCGCGATCCCAACATGGCGGGGTCGCGAGTGTTGACGGTGTACTTGGGCCTCGTTATCGGGCTCTTGTATTTTTCCACGGACCAGTACCTTCCCAGCTTGCCGGAGATGGAAGTCGAGTTGGGTGGATCCGAGATGTTGCTCTCTGGCTCCGTGCGACTTGGAAGGCCTTTACTAACCAATATACTCCACCTACTTTCCCCTTGAATTGAAACGCATTCTTTTCCGTGATAATTCTAATGACATCTCTTCGGAATTGATTTTCTCCCCACCTGGAAGTTCCTTTCAGGCAACTGAACTTGTTTTTGAAGTGCTTAGCTGGCCTCATTGTGGCGCCCTTGTCGGATCAAGTGGGTCGCCAGCCCATTTTTGCGACCTGTGCAACCTTGTTGATCTTGGGTTCACTGGGATGTGCGCTCGCGCCAGATGTGAATTGGTTCCTAGCAGCCAGGGTCATACAGTCCCTGGGCGAATCGCTTGAACCCTTGATCTTTGCAATTATCAGGGATTGCTATCAAGATGAAGCTCAGCAGCTTTCAACAGCTTTGTGCGTTTTTCAGCTTACTTATATAGCGAAATTCAAATAGTATTACTGTTTCGCTGGTGATTTCGAGTCGGGCGTCCACTCCTTCGACTTCTTCGACTTCTTTCGATGTCCGAGGAACAAGAGAGGCTTGTGGCCGTGTCCTTGGTCGGATCCTTGATGATGATGGGCATCGCACTGGGCCCAGTGGTCGGAGGTCTCGTCGCTTCACTTTGCCATTGGCGAGCCACTTGGGCGAACTAGAGAGCCGTGAAACGGGAGGGAGGGACCCTTTTTGCGCTGTGGGTCGCACCTCCCTAGGCCTCCAAGCACCTTCTGAGAAGGTGGGACTGGGGTGGGTTTGGAGGGTCCAAATACCTCCTCAGAAGGTATTTGGAGTTATTGGGCCTGTACTGGCCCCACCAGGGCCTAGGGGCCCCTGTTGGGGCACGACATCCGCAGCTCCAGGAATTGGTTGGTCCGGTGCCATCGACCGAGAAACCCACCGAGAAGTCTGACGAAGTCCTACTCGGGAGACCAGACTGACCTCTGGGTCAGAGTATGTCAGAGTCCTAACAAGGGTCCATTCTTCTCTGGTTCCCTAAGCTCAGCTCACTTGGGAGGATTGAAGACCCCCACAAAAATACCAGCACCACCACTTGGGAAGTCACTTCCATCATACAAAATCCATCCATCATGGCTTTAAAGGCCTGATGCCAACCGATCGAAGGGGCCTGCAAATGCCCACTGCCAGGTCCCCTTTTTGGCCTTGTCGCTGGCCTGGGCTCTCATGGCACTCTTCGCTGTCCTGTGGCTTCATGAAACTGCGGCAGGCTCGAAAGGTGGAAACTATTGGCAAAACGTGAAGCGTGTCATGGCTTTGCACTGTTTTGACATGTTTTGACATGTTTTGTGTATGCGATGGGGGATTTTTTTGGCCGGTTCCTGAATGCATTTTTGTTGCGGATCCCAGCGGTGATTTGCCGTATAGACTATTCATGATGTTGATGTTCCCGGTGTCCTGGGTGTTTTAGGGAAACTTGTTGTTTATTCCAGGAGTCACAAGACGGGGTGGTGTGGCTCGTCCCAGCCAGTGAGTGGAGTAGCTGGCCACTCCATGCCACCTCCATGGATAGCACCCCGTCTTGTGACTGCTGGTGATGTTGTTTGTGACTGCTGGAGCTGCAAATCCAAGGTGTGTTTTGTGATCGACATTTAGTGACCATACTTCTTACTGAGATTTTGGTGTTGAGCACCTATTACTCCTTCAATGCCAACGTGAGCTATCTCACGGAAGGTGTGTATGGCATGAGTACCGTCTCCACCTCTTGGATGATGGGTGCCTTTTCCCTGATCTCTGCCATCGGCATGATCATCGTCACCAACTCCAAAAGTCCGGTCTTATCAACAGCCGCCTGGCGCCAGGCGGAGCCGGGGACCAGTCCCAACAGGGGCAGTCCATCCAGGTGAGTCCATGTGAGTCCGCATATGACTGGTGAATACCAGGACATGTGGGCCGACACTGTCGGGGTGTCGAACTTGATAGCCCCTTATAAAGCCTTAGGTGATTCAGGGTGTCGAAGCACCATGACTGGGGCTCCTGGATGGTCCTGGTATAGCCCAGACACGACCCATGGGACTGCCAGTCCGGACTGCCGATCAATGCCTACCCCCAGTCAACCACCCCTGGCCGTGTTGAAGGCAGTCCGGACTGGCAGTCCCAAACGGGTCGTGTTTGGGGGTCCGGTTTCTGGGAGCCAAGGCCAGGCTTTGGATGACACTTTTCAGCCTCGGAGCTGGTGGATCCTTTGTGGTGGCAGCTCTCTTCTACCAGGACGATTTGTGGTCCTACATGGGCAGCTCCTTCTTGATGGGCTTCTTCTTGGCTTGCTATATGCCCCTGAGTGTCCTGTACCTGGAAAGGGTGGAGGATATCGCCGGCACAGCTGCCTCCTTCGAAGTCTTTGCACAAGCAGGACCTCCGGCGATCTATTCAGCCGTTGCAACACAAGGGATCATTCATGGAGGTCAGCGTGGCCTGACCGCGTTTCAAGCTGGAAGTACGTTGCTGGCGGGAATCGTGTTTTGGATCGGCTACTCCAACGAAGCAGCCGAAGAAGCGGACGAAGGGTGACTGGAAAGTGGGGAACGCTGGAGCCATGGCATGCCATGGCTGCAGTGTGTTTTTGCAACCCCTCAAAAGACCTTCACTTTCCAACTTCGAGCGGAAAAAGGAGACTCCTGCGATCGCATGGCTGGGGACATCGAGTCACCGTCCTTTACCAGTCACAAGACGGGGTGGTTTTTAGACCCAGAAAGTGAGTGGATACAGAATGGGCGCCCCTAACCTTCATGGATAGCATCACTTTGGAACTGCTGGTTGTTGCATAGCAAACAAAGTCCTGGTTTTTGGTCGAGAAGTGCTCAGCATGTCTTGCAAGCTTTGCTCCAGGACAAGACATAGGTAACACAGGTGAAATGAGGAGAAATAGCGAAGTTTGAGATGTCTGGCGCCTGGGGTCGCTTCACATGGTTTCAGTTGAACACCATGTTCCAGCATCCCATCAGACTTTCCTGTCAATGAGTTAATTGCAGCACAGACTCACTTCTTCATGTATTTTTGCCCCCCCTAAGACGTGAGCAACGCATCACGATTGAATCAAGCCATGAGGAACTCCATCACGATGATCATGCCATATCATATCTGTGTCTCTTTTTGGCATGTCACACATCACATGAGTCACATGGCCCTGTGTTTTTTTCATCTTTTTCCCAACGGACATGCGACATGTCACCCATCTAGACTTTGCTTCATCCCCACAGACAGCACTAAAACATCCTCCAGCGCGGAACACCGGCGGAACACCGGCGGCTTGGCCGTCGTACTCGATGGCGGAATGGCCAAGCCATCCAAAGACGAGGAGGAGCCAAGTTCCCGGGGATTCCGCGACCAACGCCCCTATTTGGAACCGCCAGGTGCTGCAAGAGTTGGAACATCCAAATTGCAAGGTGTTGCATGTAGTTACCGGAATTCTACATGGTTCCATTATTTGTTGATCGGTGTTTTTGAAACCAAGATGATTGGAATTCTATATGGTTCCACACTGTTTTGATCCATGTGTGTTTTTCCCCAGATAGCTGCAGCCTATAGGGCTTCTTACTTCTCCATGGTGTGGTTCGGGATCGGCGTTTCGTTTTGCCCGTGCTGGTGCTGCAGCTGCTGCTGGAGCGGAGTTTTCGTTGGGGCGTGCACCAGCACAGGTGCTGGTGGTGCTATTTGGGGTCTATGCCGGTGTATTTGTTTAAAACAATATTAGAATTCTACAGAGACTGGAATTCTACATGGTTCCATTGTTATTTGCTCCTGTTTTTGAAACCCAGATGATTGGAATTCTACATGGTTCCACAGTTCCACTGGTTTGATCCATGTTTGTTTGGCGAATGTAAAATTGGAATTCGGCATGGTTCCACTGTTTGTCCATCCATGTTTTGTGAAATCAAGATCGGAATTCTACATGGCTCCACTGTTTGTTCATCAATGTTTTGTGAAATCAAGATTGGAATTCCACATGGTTCCAGATTCCACTGTTGTTTGATCCATGTCTTTTGAATCACTGTTTGTTGTCCCACTTTTTTTGCGTAGAAGATTGGAATTATATATGGTTCCACGCATTGTTTATCATTTTTTGAATACAAGATTGGAATTCATGGGTCCATTGTTTGTTGATCCATGTCTTTTGATTGCAAGACTGGAATTCTACATAGTTCCACTGTGTTTAGATTAGATCCATTCTGTTTGAATACAAGATTTGACTTCTACATGGTTCCACTGTTTGTTGATCCAATTCTTTTGCCGTTTCACGTGAACACGCGGTTCGGTCACTGTCGTTCGCGTAACGGCAAGGAGATCGCCGTGCCCGCGCCGGTCTTCAGCGTTACTGCCAAGGACGACAAGGAGACGACTGCAGGTGGTTTTGTGGCTCACCCTCTTCTGACATGTGTGTGTGTGTGTTTTGAGACATTGCTGAAGATATTGTATCTATGTGAATTTCGGATGTTTTCGTTGCTCGAGCGTTACTTGGAAATGATTGAACCCACTGACCAAAGATATGAGTTAAAACGTGAGTTGAAAGGCACCTAAACCAGGACAAGATTGCCTTGCCCGATGCCCACGACCCGGTGACGGGTCATGGACGATGGCTTTATGAGGCAGTTGGGCTCCTCGTTGGTTGGGGTGGCACGGGTGGGATGCACCCACAATTGAATGTAGTTTATATTACCCTAGGCCTCCAAGCACCTTCTGAAGAGGTATTTGGAGGTATTGGGTTAATGTAGTGACCCCAAAAAGAGATAGAAAGTGAATAATCATGGTATATCTTCTCCAAGAAAGGGTCTCGAAATGTGTCTCTATCGTATTCTGAAGCCATGGGGACGCTTTCATCTCCTGTTCTGTTTGCTAGGGGTGTTGAGGTTTTTTTTACCTCACCTGACACAGGATGTCTGAGATGTCCCTTCACACCTGGATGAGGAAAATGCAGCGCCCGACGTCACAGGTCATTGGACCGATGAAGTCCCTTCCCAACCCTCGAACGAGGAGACCTCAGGGTGCTGGTGCTGGTGCACTTGTTGTTCGGCTCTGAACAAATACTGGTCGCTTGTCCGGTCTTAACCTCCAATGAGAGCTTCGTTGTGTTGAAGGTGCCTCAGATCGGGCTGACTTCCCTTGGATGTCCAGCCATCTCCCATGCTGGTGCAAGCGAAATTGAGCAGGACATTCCAAAACCGTGGAGTTCGAAGTGGTCAGAGAAGCTCCGAGTCTTTCTTGGACATCCAGCACTCGGAGATGTGCTTTTAATTCATATGGTTTTTCTTCAAACGATGCATGCAGGATAGAATTCTGCTGCAGACACGGAAAGAGCACCTTCCCCCCCCAAGTCACCTGCCAGGTCCCGCAAGTCCTCCCCAGGGATGACCTCATCCCACCCCCGCGCACCAGGGCCGACTGGGCGAGGGTGGCTTGGCCACCGTCTTCCGCGCCTGGGATTGCAAGGGCGGCTTGGGCTTCGTGGCGGTCAAGGTCCTGAAGAAGCACTCCAAGGCCAGCGAGTCTCGAAGCCGAAGCGACCTTGGTTGCAGTGGGTCGGAAGGCTCCCTATTGGGGGGGGGGGCAACCAAAAAAAACACACACCTCCTGGGGCGTCTTCTTTCGCGTCACTGGCTGGGTGGAAAAAACCATCACTTAAGGGTCAATGAACATGGACATGGACCGTTGGAGCCGGCTCCAGTGCGATGCTGGGGGCCTTCGCTTCAGCAGCGCGAACAGTCGCGCGCTGACCGAACATCCGGCGGTTCGAATAACGCGATGGCCGCGATGGAGCTGGTGGATTGACCGACCCTTTTGTCACGTTCAGAGAGATTCCCAGGACAATCATGATGTTGCCTGTTCTTGTTGTTGTTCTTGTTGCCTGTTCTTGTTCTTGTTGTTCTTGTTCTTGTTCTTCTTGTTGCTGGTGGTATAGGGCTTAGAGAGTGTAGGACTGTAATTAGGGCCACAGGCTTACAGCGTAGGGCTTCAAAAAGGACCTTTGAGAAAGGTTTTGTGACTAGGCTTCACCGAGACATAGCGAGATGAAATTGGCTTATCAAAGATCGCTGGCAGCATTCGAGAGCGAGACCTCTTCTGGAGATGGTGGGATGCGAGGGTTTCAAGATAGGGATCATAACAGACTAGAACTCACCCTATGGATCCCAATACCTTATCGGTACGGCTAGATGTCGCCCTCCGTCAGAGTGTTTTCGTTCTGTGGTTCCTCTCGGTATGTGGATCCAGAGAAGGTCAATGCTTCACAACCCAACCAACCACCATCGATGATCGAATTAGCTGGGATGTTCAATGTGCTTTTCATTATTTGTCCATTTGGTTTGACCGTTCCAGCAGTCAAATATAATCCTGTTCACATGACGCTCAGAAAAAAGTGTTGGTGTTGATTTGCCCAACGGTTTGTCAAACAGACATCAAGGTCGAACCCAAAGTTTCGATCCTTTTTCCATCTTCAAGTAGACCGATGTGACTCTCCGTGATCAGGCGCATGCGACACTCCGTGACCCTGACAGGCGCATGCGAGACATGCCTTTGCGATGCATCGGGAAAGCCAATGGTCCTTGGAGCGGCTCCACAATCGAGCTGATCCAAGGCGGCGCAATCGACGCGGGCGTCGCGTGCGACGACGCCCGCGAAGAAAGACCAATTCGGTTGTGAGGATTGCAGTGGCCGGGCAAAGACACGTGGAGCAGGTAGCTCTTGACGTCCCGTTTGAGAAGCGACGGTTGGTAGCTCTTGAGGGACGAGACCGGAAAACAGGACGGTCGACACCATACTTGGGCTCTTTCGAAGGTGGGACTAGGGGTATAGATAAATACAAAAGGCTGAGTGAGGGTGAGTCAGACATGGATCGATCCGTTGCTGCATGATGGAGGTACTCTGAAGAGCATGCCAAGCTCTTCGCAAGGCAGGTCCTGTCTTCAGTCTTTGTTTTCAATCCGTGGACTATGGCAACAGATGTTTTCGCAATCCCAGCTCTTGAAATGGCAAGTCAAGCAACCCTCAACTGTCGCCTGGTAAGTGCTATAAAAAGAATGGCATCCCAATACAGGATGGCATCCTCCATCCACCTAGCCCTAGCCCTCGTGCCCCCATCTTGAGGGCCACATGCTGGGCCGACTCCATCCGTTCCACCCTGGCCCGGCACCGGACCAAGCCGGGCGGGGACGTGGACGTGTAGCGCTTGCGCAGAACCCAGGTACCTGGAGGATCACACAGGCTTCGTGGAGCTGGGCCCGGAGGACTTCGAGGAACGGCGCAAGGACTTCGAGTCGCCCAGCTTCGATTGGTACAAGCAGCGTGCCTCGGACCCCCCGCGCGCGACCAGTGGAGGCGAGACAGAAGGAGTTCAGAAGTCAGAGAGGGTCGGTCCGAGCTCCCTGCGTGAAGAAGTTGGGTTCGGGGTCCCGGCAGGTTTGCGAGGTGGGGTTCTTTTTCGGGAGGGTGGAGCGGGAAGAAGTGAGTGCTTGAGTGAGAGTCAGTCATGACACTGTGGTTTTTGTTGAAGCGAACAACGTCTGCGGAGAGAGGTTTAGAGGCGAGGGTCCAGGGGCCTTCTTTTTTGGAGATGTTGATGTGGTGTTCATGTGGCTCTCAGAGAAGTCGGTTGGTGAGGAATGCCCAATTCTAGTGGTCTTTGAGGTCTTTGAGTAGAATTTATTGTGAAACCCATGACGCTCCATGTATGCAAATAGATACATTTCTTGGGTGGCATGAATGAATGAATGAATGGAGGCCATGATTTGCTTCCATGGAGCATCTGAACATGTGATACCTGCCAGGATCTTCCACCAAGTCCAACTGCTTTTTCCCTATCGTACCGAACCTCGGGTTCGGTACGACTGGACCCTCCAAATCTACATCGCGGTGTCGAACACATCACCGTACCTGAGGTTCGGTACGACTGGATCCGGGTTTTGGTTTGCCTTTTCAATCCTCATCCATCAGACCAGCCCACTTCGGCCCACTTCGGCTCGTAGCCGGCGGTCGCAGCCCGGTCCGGAGCCCGGAGCCGGAGCGTTCCCAGGTATTGATTTGCCCATTGCCAGCAAGCCGTACGCCCGAGCTCCCGGACCTGCGGCTTCCGGACGCGAGACAAATGGGACATGGCAGTGATCCAGAAACCCGTTTGGCCGAACAGGTCGCACCTTCGTTTCGTTTCGGTGGGGTGGGGTGGGTGCCATGTTCGGGTCCAGTCATACCGAACCTGAGGAGGTACGACTGGAGGTATAGGGGATATATATTGGATCCCACCAACAAAACAAGGTAATGACTTTGGTCAGACTTGGCCCCCATGGTCCGAGGTTGAGTGGAAAATTATCTCCCTTCCAAGTGAAAAATTGTGAATTCATGTGAATTCTATACAGCGTACATCAGGGTGCCTAAAACTAATAAGTTCACTGCAGCTATTGCTTTGTGCCAATCCTGGATCCGTCGACCCATCGACAAATGAGGTGGTCATGGAGCTGGTGAAAGGCGAGACTTTGCAAGTGGCGATGCCCAGCATGTCAGCGACCGAGAAGCGCCAGGCGCGGTGGGTACTTCGCCCCCCCCTCTCACCACACCGAAGAAACAGCTACCGCCGCCCTGTCTTTTTCAGTGTTTGCCTCAAACCGCACCTCTTCCGCATCCAAAAGACCCGCCGGGCTAGGTCATTCTGCAGTGTGCCACCGCCCTGGAGTGCGCCAGCGCCAGGGGTCCGTTGGACGTTTGGCGAGCATGACAATGGGAAGAAGGGAGGCAGGCAAAGGTTTGGCCAGACACGACCTGTCCCCATCATGGAGTGTTTGGCTTTGGTCCGAGAGCGGTTAGCAAGAGAGAGAGAGAGATTATGTTCAATCGTTTTTCACAACGAAGAGACATGGAATCTGCGTAACATTGACAATCGTAGACCTCAGTTCCAAAACCAATACAGTAGCCTTTATTTGGTCAAGTCTTGGTGGAAAGCAATGATGAGTAGAAGAGTTCACAGAGTGAAACCACGAATCGTGCGAAACCCTGTTTGCCGCCGTGTTGGTTTCCATGTGAAGTCTGCATATGACAGACTTACATAGGAGGAACACTCACAGACCCAAGAGGAACACCTGAGGAACTCTCCCTCTCTCTCTCTCTCTCTCGTGATTCTGATGCAGACCCATGTTGTTCAAGATCAGCTTCCCTTACATTCCATTCCATCCAATATCCACACGACCCGGGACTTGATAGGGTCTGCCACAAAGAATGCATCAATCCTTACATGTCCCTTAGATCCTTACTCCCGCCGCATCCAGCCGCCCCATACTGGCCGACTGCCCCTCAAGGCCTTGGTAACTTTCACTTCACTCCAACGCCCCCCCCCCCCGCGGGGTCCATCAAGACGACGCCGCCTCCAGATCATGGAGACTCGCCTGCCGAGATCCGAGTTTTCACCAGGTACTTGGAGCGTTTCCACATGATCCACCGAGACTTCCGCGGCTGCAACATGCACCTCATCGCCGCTGGGTGGCGAGGTGTTGGCGCCGGAGGTGTTTGCGAACGGGAGTGGTTTAGCGGTTTACCTTTAAGCCGCGTTTTGGCAGAGGCGCAGACACGAAGACTGAAACATGAGATCAGACCCCAAATGTTAGCCAACATCATGGTGTAAATCCCAGAACTTATGTTTGCCCTCTTTGTTGATGCCCAAAGGATGTTTGCACCTCACAGGCCTTGCGATGCACACAACAGCCACTGGTGTGTTAGGTAATAGCAGCCCTCGCAACTAGAGTGGCAAACCAGCCACTGGTGTGGGTCGGTTTAGGCAGCCAAGCAGCTGGGTCGTCAGCCCATTCATCTCCTTTGTCCCTGGGGCCTGGAGCTTTCTCGGAAAAGGAAGCAATGTCTCGATCTGTCGACGGGATCCAATCCCTGGATCCCCCCTTCACATCATCTGAGTGGAAGCAAAAAGACCCCGACCTCCTCAGAATATGTGTCCTTACCCTATACCTCCAGTCGTACCTCCTCAGAAGGTATGACCGGACCCTCCAAACCCACCCCAAACATCAAACACCTTCTCAGAAGGTGCGACTGGAGGCCAAACGGGTTGGGATCAGGATTTGAATGACCAAGGCGCCAGGGTTTTTGGGTGACTCATCTAGCTACTTGACCGGTTCACGGACCGAACTCGGTCTCCTGGCGCCGACATCCCACAGGAGGTGTCTTTCGGTCAATTGACCATCCAAGCAAGCAGCATCAGTATATTGGGTGGTTGGTGGGGGGGCTACCTGATACAGGTCACATCAGGTCACTGACGGTCGAGGTGAAGGATGTGATGTCGATATACGTGACCACATGTCACAGACCCCCCAAGTCGTTCCCGCCTTCTGCGTGAGATTGAGATGCCCAAACCGCCTGCATTCCACGAGGCCCGGGAAAAGCCGAACGAGTCTTGCCAACTGAAGGCGCCTCCTCAGCGGCCGAATGGACTGCATCCGAATGGACTCACCGTGCCACTCATGGGTTCAGAGGAAAGCTGAGGAATCGACAGATTCATGGATATGATGAAGAATGGGTCACTGATCCGATCCCAAAGTTGCGGAGTGAGACACCTCACCTGAAATCTTCAGGTTCTTCCACTTTGAGATGAGAGATTCCCAAACTCAGTGAAGACTTCCCTCCCTCTAAAAAATCGTGGAGGTGGCAAATGCATGGTCCCTTGCGAAGACCATGTCCTCTACAAACGAGTGAACTCCACTTCCGGGGCACTGGGGGGGGTACAGCGTCCCTTGTTTGGAAGCACAGCCGTCCCGATCTCAGTGTCCGAACGCGACTTCGCAGTGCGTGCGCTCGGCGCTCGTTTCGACCAGATTTTGGATTTGGGCGTCATGATCTCTTCAGAGGCTCGGGATGACCGGCTCGGGATGACCGGCGTTGATCGGTCGGGGGGTGCGAACTCGCAGCGGCTCGGTGCTTTTGTTCGTCTGGCAGGATTCCAGGATGTTTCTTTGGATTTGGGTGACTTGAAAGAAGAGGTCTAATCATGTAGACTCTTGACCCCATATATGAAGGGGATTTCCCATTTCAATGGGGGGCTGTATTAACCAAGAGTCTACCTTACTTGAAAGGAAGATCATACACGGTGCGGCTGGAGGAAAATGCCATCGCAGGCTTCTATGGCCTAGGCCATTCAACGGCCAAAAGATAGGGGTTTGTGTTGCTGGTTTAGGACCTGGCACAGAGGCTGAAGGAAATGCTTCTCCGTGTTTTGCCAAAGGCATATCATCATATCATGATACTATGTTCTACTGTATGATGTATGTTTTAGCATGACCCGTCTGCGGTATAGCGGCCGTATGTTCCATTAGCTCTCAACTGTCACAGTGAGCGAAGCTGCCCCACTTGCAGGAGGTGCTTAGGTCTCTCACTCATCTCGCGTCTCCTTGGCCCAGGCATTGCGAGATCTTTGGATGGAGACCATCTTAGATGGGTTGTTTATAATAGGATTTATATAGACCATGGTAGACTGCAGTCTATATCCCAAACCTTGGGCCCCAGGATGTCTATTCTGCTGAGGGTCGGTCTGGTCGACGTCCCCCATCGACCATAGGACGGGGTTGCAATCGCACGACAGGCTGGCATGGAGGTGAATTGCAACATGGCCGTCCAGGCGGTCCTCACGTCATGGGACGCGTGTGCAGATGGTGTGTGTGTGTGTGTGAAAGTTGCAGTTCAAGGAAACATCCCCATGAAATCCCATGTTGGTTCTGTATGAAGTTCGAAACTTGGTTGTGCCCAGATTCTAGATGTTTGAAGAGGTTGAATTAGAGCTTGCATTTGCGCACGGTTTCTTATATACGATGAGAAGAAGGGGTTCGGGTCTGCCCGTAGGCTTCCGCTTCGAAGAGGGGAGGATCATGAGGATCCGAGGGTTCAGCTTCACATGCAGAGGCGGAAACAAAATTTGCTCAAGAACCAGTTCTTAGGAACACGCACAACTCCCATGTTCTCCACCATTTGGATCTGATCTGGAAAGAGGTATCTCACTCCAGGACCTTCAGTTCGTGACCTCTTTGGAGTCTCTAAGCTTCTGGCTGAGGCTTGTGATCCACTCCCACGTTCTCCACCTCCTTCCCACGCCGGAGCCAAGACCGACTCCGGACGGCACATGCCGTGGGTTGGAACCCGGAACTCCCGGAACCCGGACCTCATTCTGCTTGGAGTTGATCATACCAAAATCACGTGGCAAAACACCTGACGTCTTCAGCACCCGGATTGACTGGCTAAGTGGACCCTGTCGATCTCTCGCTGACATGTTAATTCCGCGTCCGCCCTCCGCGTCGCGCGAGGCCTTCCGGCGGCGTGGCGAGACCGAAGAGAAGCGGAAACGCTACGATTGGCTGCCATGGGAGGCCGAGCGGTGCCACGGTGCATGTGGTCGACCGGTGAAAACCCGGTGAAGACGAGGGTGTGAGGACGAGGCTGGTCGGAGGTGACCGCGTCCGAAGGATCAAGGACCCGACCCGTTCGGTGAAGGTTTGGTTCAGGGCCAAACCCCTGCGAAAAGCAGGGTCCAAACCCTCCAGAAGTGGTCGGGTCCAATGATTCTTAGATAGTCTTAGGGCAGTGACCAGGACCTTCAGTTGGTCGACTCCCAATGAAACCCGAAGAGCCAGAAATTCCACACACTCCATGGGACTGGCAGAATGATTTGTGCATATTATGTTTGCATGCATTATTGTATATTATTGTTACTTTGGGGTATTCCATACTGCATGGAGTGTCTGGGAATGGATGCTTTGTTTTCCTTTAAAGGATCTCCATTACCACATTGGATCAACCATGTGTTTAAACCGGACTGATTTGTTTCCAGACCTAAACGTTCCCAATGTGCGACACTTGGCTGGGGGTTGGTGAATTGTCCCCTCTACCGAGTTGGATGGTGGATTCACACACAGTTGATATATTAATTATTATTCCTTATTTAATTCCAAACAACTGCACCAAAAGCTCAGAGAATTTGGACCATCACCGGATCATCCCATTCATGTCCCCCGCTTCTTCCACACCAAAAGACATCGTTTGTGTCGCTTCCGATGCAACCACCACCACCCAGGCTGTTTCAGCTCCATGCAGGTCTCTTGGAGCCCAAGGCACCGCAGAGGGCCGGTTCCGCTTGCAGGTGCGCTCGGCCTGCGACGAGCTGCAGGGCGCGGTGAAGAACTTCGAGCCGCCAGGAGCCGGACACCGCCGGTGTCCGGAGGGGCCACACACTCCCGGAGGGTCCGCTGCGGTTAGGGCTATAGAGGTGCAAAACGAGGTGTTGCCGGGTAGATGAAGTAGTAGTGGGCATGGAGGTGGTAGGGACAGAGTAGGTGGGGGAGAGTGAGGGGATGAAGTGGCTGAAGATTTTCGGGGTGTGCCGAAAGATGCTGCCACTGGGGTTGTCGTGGTTGTGGTCAGTGACCATCACGAGGGGGGTACACGCATCTATCTTCGGTCGAGTGGCATTAGCTCGCGTAGCGACGTGGTTTCGACCTGGGTGCGGCAGGTGGGTCACGACCCACTCGGGTACGTTGTTGGACTGTTTTGTGTGATACGTGGCTTGTGTCACTCCCATGACACGACCTGGAAATAGAAACATGCCAAATCCGCCCCTGAAATCAATCCGATTGAACCAAATCAACCATGCACCAAAAAGAAACACATGCACAACAAACATGCAAATCTGGTTCCAGTTCAGTGGACGAAGTCGTTTGGATCGTTTGGAGTGTCCACTGGGAGGACATTCCTTCGACGCCTTTAGCTTGGGAGTCCCTTGGCGCGCGGCCGTCCGGGAGCGACCGCTCCCTCGACTGGGGCGGGAAGTGACGTCCCTTGGGCGGGCGGCGGAGCAGAAGGAGCCCTTGTGCCGAGGACCAGAAAAAAGGGGGAGTCGGATGAATTTGGGGAAGAGGTGAGTGTAATAGCTATATACCAGCACCACCCAAAGGGTGGTTTATAGACCCCCCTGAAGATGTATGTTCCATCTAATATCCACCCCTTGGGTGGTGCTGGTATATATATATATATAATAGTTGAGTCATGATGCAGTCATCATGCAGTCATCCATTGAGTTTTCAGACATATATGTGGGTGTAGACGATGTCGATGATCATAGATGATCGCTTGGGTCGTTGTTCATCGACTTGGATGAGCAGTGGCGACGCTTCTGGGATCCAGCTCTTGGATGCTTCTGTTTCCTCGTTGCGAAGTCTGGCACCTTCCTTCACTGCCTGCTTCGCTGGAAGCCACTCAACTCGCTGGACCCGACTTGCACTCGCACTCGGTCTCCGCGCGGCGTTCGAAAAGGTCTTGATTCTTCATCTCTTGCTGGGCAAGACCAAGGCGACTGAATTGGCGCAAACAAACAAATGAGGTTTGGGATATGGACTTCATTTGACATGCAAATTCCCCGAAGACAAGCTCTTTTCTGACTAGGATGACTCAAATCCTGTGGAAGTGAGCATGCTTTGAAACGCAAGACTCAGCTTCTAGCTGCCAGGGGTGCGGAACGCGATGTTTGCCAGTGCCTCGCTCAAGTGTTTCTTTGCCGCGATGTTTGCCAGGCCAGATCTGTTTTGGACAGCCTCCAAGATCATCCAGAAAGGCCGAAGCCTGAGAGGCTAAAACTGTGCTTCTCCTTCTTCCTCTACAGCATTGGGGGTATTAAACAGAGAGCTTCTCAAGTGATTCAACTTCCGGGCTCTCCAAACACCACGATGTGATGGAAGACTTCGCTCGGATTCGTGGACAACCGAGGACGCCGGATGGCTGTGGCATCGGTGTACCAAAAGAATTGCTGGGTAATTTGCTCGCAGAGGCCGAGCTGTTTTGCTAGCAGAGAGCAGAGAGCAGGGAGAGCAGCTGTTTCGACCAAACCCGAAAAGAAGGTGGGCCAGGGGTGGGTGGGTGCCAGGGGGGTCTGTCCCTACCTTTTGAGGATGTGAGCCGTATGGAACCCAAGCAGGAAATAAATCGAAGACGTTGAAGATTTGGGACACCACCCACAATTAGGTCCGGAGTCCACCTGTCTAACGCGGCCAATTGGTTGGCAATACGAACCACCTTTCTTCCATTTCATCAACCCAGATGCTCCGTTCAGCCCGACTGGGGATTGGTTCAAATCCAGACCCCTCCATATGAGGGTCCGACCCTTTGATATAAGGGTCCATGAGCGTCTGGGGTACGAACCACCGTTGCTTCCAGTTCTTCAACCTCTTTCATGCCGTGAATCCCTATGATCCTGTCTATTCAGAACCCTTCCGAGAGCTCTTCAATTCCAAGACCTCTTATTACCCATTCAGTGAAACTCATTGGCCAAGTTATGGATATGTGCAGCAAATGCCTCCTGAAATCAGGATACCATGCAGGCCCACTCAGTTTCCCATTTGACCAGCCAATGTGTATTTATAGGCGATCTTCCTTCCCAATCTGTTCCCTTCATTCCTCATTATCCTGTGAGCTTGTTTGGGTCTTATGTGATCGGTATCCCGATTGCATGCAGCTGCTCAGACCCACCTCATTGGCCATATGTTTGTCAATCCCTGTCCATATCCTTAAAGCACCTAAGATATGCAGCTCATGCACCTGCAATTCTTGGCCCTCATTCATAATCTCATTCAGCTTCAATACCTGCAGTCGATTCAGCTACTCTTTTACAACTCTGGCAATGGCAGCCACCTTAATCCTCTTGTGTTTCAGCTTTTGCCCAGCCAAAATGATCCTCTCCTCATGCTTCTTCAATCTTCTTCATCTTTCTGATCCAATTGCAGTATGAATTGCAAGTTTCAATGCCTTGGCCAATTTGCTCAATCTTGTCAACCAATTCTTGCTCATATCCACAGCCCATCCACAAGCAGCTGGCACGTGACCGGTGGCCAGTTGGCCACCTCCTGCAGGCCACTGGATTGATGGCTCCCAGTCATCAGCTGGAGTCAGCTCGGGTCAATCCACCGGATGAACTCATCTATCCAGGACCTTCAGTTCGTGATCTCTTTGGAGACCGACCACCACAAATTCGGCTGGGTTCCACTTCATACTCAGTTCAGTAAGTGATCTGTATTACCTCTATACACCTCTTCAGGGACGATTCATGACCGACCCACTGGGATCCTCACCTCAGTCGACGACGGTCCATGCAAAGCGTCCGGTGGGGTCATGGCATGGGGGGGGGGCCCTCTGTTGTATACCAACCGAACAAATGAACAGAATAGGCGCCCAGCTTTCATGGTCTGGTTCAGACCCAGTGACAGGGGCAACCGTTGCCAGATCGCCATATGGTGCTCTTGGGCTTTTCTCGCCTAGTGTCACTGCAAGTCTCAGAGTCATGAGTCAACAAATCGTAATGCCTGATGGCACTAATGGCCTCATGTCCAGCACCGAAGCTTAATCCCTAAACCCAGCATTCGAGGGAAAGACTTGTTTGATCTCACTTGTCTTCATGACCTTTCTGAGTACCATTTCTTTGCATTGCCACGATCAATGACATGTCCACCATGCTCAGAATCCTCCCTTTTCAACCAGCCAAGAAACTCTCCTCCCACCGCCCGCTGTAGGCGGCGAAGCGGCCACGGCCACGGGAGGTGTGCGCTCAGCTGGTGCCGTTGAGGCGACGGTGCAGGGGCAGGTTGGGAGGGGTGGAGTGTTCCAATATAGATCAGTTAAGATTGAAATTACACACTTCATACTTCATTGTGCACGTTGAAGCATTTCGTGGCAGAGCTTTGTATCAGATTGCTTTTCCGCTTTTCCATGCTTTTCCCTTAGGGGATATTGTAAAGAGCCATACGCTGGTGCATTTTCAGGTGGTTGGACCGCTCTGGCACCTACCCCAACTCCCTTTTCAGGAGGTAGTTGGAGCCCTAGGGTTTAGTCAGTTTTCCAATTGACCCGCAGGTCCAGCTGACCGGCAGATGCATTTGGTCCAGACTCGTAGTGTAGACACTACGCGTCAGAAGCAAAGATCGACAAAAACTTCACCGTTGATGATTCTTCGAAGTTATTTTCCCAACTAAGTTGCTTTCGAAGGTTCTACCCCTCAAATCCTCAGAGTGTGTGTTTTGGCCCAGACTCGTAGATCAAGGGCCCTGAAAGAGCAGCAAAAGTGTTCACGAAGACCACCCACGCCTCAGCACTTTCGGGTGCCAGGCTGAAATCGCCTCAGAAAGAGGCCAGGCGCATTGATAAAAGGTCCCAAACGCAACCCCTTCGGCCCCGAACCTACGGAGGGGTCGGACCCGAATCCGAACTCGTCAGGGGTCTGGGGTCGAACCAATCGTTTTGAGAGGCCAAGGACTGTGAACGGAGCCTCTGGGCTGTATTTAGCCATCTGAATCGTCCATGAGCACTACACTCCTGTTTGTACACATCACGATGGTGGAAGTGGAGCGAAAATCCCCTGTTTGTAGAAGACAGTCGTCTTCCGTCTGGTCCGTATGTACCTCGTTGGATGCTTCCCGAACCACAGGCAGCATGCAGGCAGCATGCATGAGTTAAACAGAAGAAGGCAGCTGGCGACCTCGACAGCTGGTTTTCAATTGTGACACATGTTAGGGAGAAGGTCGATTCCTCGATGATCCCACGATGGTTCGATGGGTTCCCAGATGCGAATCACTTTGACTCAGGAAACATGGAACTGGATTTCAACGCCTGTTTTGGTATCGATAGGGATCCACTGCCACCTACAAACAGCAGGTACGACGCCACACCCTCCTGGCACCCACTGTTCACAGTGTCCAAAACATCGCTGACTCAATAGGAGGGTGGTAGTGGATGCCTCTAGAACATGAACCATTGGTCCTTTGCAGTGGCCCAACACCATCCACTTCGATCTCCAGCCGCTCCAGCCGGACCGGCTCCGGGCTGCGTGCGCCCTCCGGGACGCGTGCGGCCTCCGGGACGAACAGGCGGCGGTCAGCGCGGAGAAGGCAGAAGCCACTCCTGCAGTTCCGTGGGATGACTCAGATGTGAAGGGTAGAGAGGTCGAACCAAATGGGGGTCGCATGCCTCAAAGCAGCAGCTTGAGGCTTCAGGTGTTGTTGTACTGTAGTTGTACTGTAAGTTACTCATATGACTCATATGTAGTCTGACTGGCAGAGAGGTCTGAGTTGATGTATGTTGATACCAAGAGAGTGATACCGCCGGGTCTACATCGGGGTGATGCTCATGGTCTTTCGATGTCATTGATTTCAGGCTAGGATGCCCTAGGATGCCCTATGCAAGGTGCATTAGAGATCCAGGTACACTAAGAGGCCAGGTACACTGCCATGAGTTTCCCTCAAACATGTTGATAGGCTAGTTGATAGGATTGGAAGTATTGTTCTCAGCAGTTCTTCTGGCGGGGTAAGCTCATCACGAAAGCTAGCCTTAGCTAGCTGGAGTTGCTCTTGCTTTAGCAAGTTAAGTGACGGGGTGGACGCACCTCAGAAACCTCAAATAATTGATTAAATCTGCAAGGTTCAACGCTCCTATTTTCGAGCATAAAAGCGGCTGTTGAGTGTACACTTCTCGTTTTGTGCGTGTCATCCTTTGCGGACCAGCACTCCTCCCTGGTCGTGCGTTTAGCATCTGACCAGCATTCGAAAATCGAGCCGTAGGCTCAAACCGCTTCAACCGCCACACACTTTACATTGGCGGATCTCAGTCATCGGTCCCGTGACCGCATTGCACCGAGCATCGGTGTGGAAGTTGCCGAGCTGGTCCTCATAGACGAAGTTCGTCTCTCGAAGACTTCTCTGGCCTCTGGTGGCCCTTTGACAGGCTCCACACACCGGCTGTTCATGAACTCGGTTGGCCTTGCTCAATCCCCTGCAGCTCCGCTGTCTATGGAAGCACTTGCTGGACTCCGCGAACCAGATCTTCCACGTTGGCTCATTGGGGAATCGCCTCCTCCTCCCAGTCAGGGTGATCTGCAGATGATGCCCTCCAGGTAGGTCAGCTTGATTCGGCGGCTCCTCTTGTGGCTCATTCAACGCGGGATCCAGTCTCCCTTGATGTCCATTTTCAATGCCTCCACCCATCCTGGTACCCCTTGGTGATGAGGATGAAGCACTCTGCTCTCCATGGTTCATTTGCTGCCACTCCCCATCATGTTGACGTGGTTCTCGATCTCCTCCTCCTTGAGGTCTGGTAGAAGTCCTTGTCCCGGAAGAAGATTGACCAGCCAGGCGAGAGACCCTCACTCTACGCGTTGCCGGATCGTCCTCCACCCGGTTCCAATGCAAGCGGCATTTTTGAATGACCTTCATGAGCACCATTCCCAGCAACATCATCATGACGCTGAGGAGGTACAGGATCTGGTCACCCTCCACATTCTCATCAACATTCTTGGTGACATTCTCAGCCATAGCTCCATGCACTTCCTTAAGGGCCGACAGCACCACGACAAGCCTCATGGCCTTCTCCAAGTGGTACTTCGCGACCAACTTCATAGCCCTTGGTGCGACAATGCCCTTGTCCTCCTCATGTACTTCGTCCACTGAGTCGGGCTGCCATGACATTCCCATCCGTTGCCTCAGCTCGTTGACCCGGGCCACTGGCAAAGACTTGGTGCCGATGTCCGCGATGAGCTCTCTTCCAGGCTGGTACTTCAGCTCCCATTGACCAGACTGGATCCTCCATTTGAGGTGGGCGGCCCGGACCTTCAAGTGTCTTGTACGCCACGCTCCAGTTGCACAACTTGCTATTGAGACTGCAGCAGTGTTGTCACACTTGAGGAACTTCGGGACGTCCTTCGCCATCTCATCAACCAGACATGCGATGCTATCTCCCACAACCACAGCTTCGATGACCTCTATGAGCTCGGCCTCCGCGGTTGAAAGGGCGGGGAACGGCTGCTTGCAGCTCTTCCATGCCACCGGTGCTCCGGCCACCGTCGTGATCACACAGCCATGGCTATGAGCACCTCCTGGAGCGAAGGAGGCATCACTCACTGACTCCAGGATGAAGTTGGCGTCTCTTCGGTACCACAAGCCCAGGCCCTGCGTGGCATTCAAGTACCTGATCAGCTGGTATGCCGTTTGGATCGCCCATTTTGGAGCCCGGCTCGTCGCTGAGCAGATTCGGCTGACCGTGTAGGCGATGTCCGGTCTCGTCTTCGTTGCCAGCCACAAAAGTTCTCCTCCGAGTTGTTGTGCCTCTCGGACCTGCAAGGGCGTGCGATCCAGCTCATCCTCGGGTTCCTGGGATTCCTTCATCATCTGAGCGCTGCAAAGGTCCTCCATGCCATGTCGCCGAACCACTTCCCTCAAGTAGGAACATTGATTGGCAAAGAAGTCTCCTTGTTCAGTTCGGCTCAACTCCATTCCACAGTACCGAACTGGTTCACGATCTCCCACCCACGTAGGTTCGGACGTCTCCCAGGTCCTTCGAAAGCTCTGGAGCCCTTGCTCCACCATCTCTCTGGTGCCGAAGAGCATCACATCATCCACGTACACCAAGGCGAGTCCCTCCACCAGATCTCCATCTCCGGCATCCTTCCTGCGCACCAGCCACAAGTTCTCCTCCGCGAAACTCTGCTGGTACTCATATGTGATGGAGTTCACCTGAAAGGACATCTGGCTGATCTCGATGTCCCTGTAGTCCCCCCAAAGCTTCGGAGACTCACGCAAGCCATACAGGGCCTTCTCCACCAGCCACATTTCCCCTTCCTTGACCAATCCCAGTCGAACGAGGATCTTCGGAGGAAGCATGAGCACCAGTCGTTTCCTCTTCGTGAGGTCCTCCTCCTGCTGCTCTTCCTCGGCCATCTCTTCTTGACCATCGTGACCTCCTCCAGCCTCTTCATGATCCTCTTGGGGTCGACCATGGGCGTCTTCCAAGGCGAGGGCTTTCTTCCGGCTGCTCTCCTGTAGCGTTCTAAGAGGAGCATTCAAGAAAGCAGTCTTTATGTCCAGGCTAGCTGCCTGCCAGCCCCGCGTAGCAGCCAGTGCCAGAGAGGTCCTCAAGCATGTAGTGTCCGCTCCACCTGCGTAGAGTTGTGCTGCCTCCGATCGATCTCCAGGCCCTCTTCCAGCTCCTTTCAGGTAGTTTCCACACACCACCAGGCGACACTTCCTACGTCCATCCGGGGCCTTGACGGCATGTATAGCCTTTCCCGGGACCACCTCCACCTTGTCTCCATGTTCCCTCTGGTAGTAGGCCACTTCTGCGGGAGTCAGTCGCCGAATCGCCTTCTTGCCCTCCAAGGACTGGATCTCCTTCATAATGGCCTCCAGTCACAGCTCCCGATCTTTGTACACCTCATCGTTGGGCACGATCCGGGCTTGGAGAATCTCGTCTTCCAAAAGTCGTTGGGTCGATGCCACCTGCTCTTGCCGTAGTGCAACCAGGCCTCGACTCAACGGAGGAACCTCCCTAGGAGCAGATCTCAACAGGTGACCCTCCTCCTCATAGATGGCTTGAAAGAGCATTCGACGATCCTCTTCCCTTTGTAGGTCTTCTTCTCCCTGTATGCATGCCAGTGGTGTCTTCTCTCTCAACCTCCAGCGAAGCCGTACAGGATCATCTCGGATATGGACCTCCTCCATGACCAAGTCTCGTTCGTCAGGCTTAGGCTCCTTGACATCCTTTATCAAGTAGCTCACCACCTTGACCTTCTCCCTGTCCGTGAGAACTGCATGTCCTTTCGACACCTGTGGGGTAGGAGTCAGGTAAGTCACCGTCTCGGATGTCGCTTCGAAAGGTCCTCCTTGCTCCCAGGCTCGCTTTCTCACTGTGATGAGCTGCCCAAAGCGTGGTAGAGTCTCTTTGATGTTCTCTCTTCTCCTTCTTTCCAGCTCCGTCACATGTCTAGCCGCTGCCGGCCACCACTTCGTGGGCATGCCTGAAGCATGTAGAAGTCGACGGACCCTTTGCTTGATCGACGCAATCATGGCCTCGGCACGTCCGTTTGACTGGTGTTCATCCGGAGGACTGAAGGTTCTAGCCAGCCCCCTCTCCAAGCACCACCTCTTGAACGGGTTGTTGTCGAACTCCCGGCCTGCATCGGTATGGATTCTAGCCACAGGGTAGCCGTGGCGTCTCAGCATTCCAAATAGTTCCTGCGTTCCAGCAAGGACTTCTGCTGAGCTTTTCGAGGTCAGTGGAAGGCAAATGGACATTGTGATCAGCTTGTAGACCTTCTGGTGCTCTTCAACTTCCTCTGGAGTCTTTGGAGGTGGCACCGATGGTGGTTCTGGTTGACTGGGTCCTGGATCAGGCGGCGGCTCTAACTGATCACCGTCTCCTTCGCCCTGCCGTTCATCCTCCTCCGGCTCACCCATCTCCAGATCTTCGCCCTCATCTGACGTAGGTCGATAGGACATCTCTTCCCCATGAGCTTCCAGATCTTGAGCCAGGTCGTACTCCACCTCCCGAAGAGCCTCCTCTTCCTCGAGTGTAGGCCAGTCCTTGTCTGGAATCACCTCGAGCTGTTCAACCTCGTCCCATGGTGCCTCCTCCATGACCGGCCACGTGTATGCTCCAACCAGGAGGTACTTCTTGAGGTCGCCGTCAATGTCATGGCCGAGCACAAATGGTCCTGTCAGATCCAGCGACAGCACGCACGGAGCCGCTATCCCTTGAGCTCGATGTGGTCGATCCCTTGCCGCTGCTCTCTGACAGACAGCGCAGTCTCTGCGGAACGGCACATGCCCCTGGGCCAGGTGTTCCTGCCAAGACAAGGCCTTCATCGTCACCCGCCTCTTCTGGATGTTGATTGTGATGCTTCTTGCGATCTCTCGCATCATTCCTGGGGCCCATCTCGCCAGTTCGGAGCTCGACACCTCACGCTTGGTCTTCAGGAAGGCCTTGGGCGGGCCCCGATCCTCGGGAACCATGAACTCCATGTTCAATGCCAGTGAGGTAGGTTTCACCGCCATACCACCATAGGCACCCTGGTTGAAGGTCACCATGTCCAGGTTGAGATGCTCTTTCATTACCCTCCACTCCTCGGTTCTCCAGAAGGATGCCACTTCCGGCATGTGCTGAGGCGCTGCAGGCTGCTCCATCAAGAACCTGACCGTTGGCAGCAGCGCGGAATTCTTCTCCTGGGACAATCGTGCATCTCGACCCAGCTTTGCCACCACATAGAGCGTCACCATACGCAACAGCAGCACATCGTCCAAATGGCACTTTGCCCTCTCCACTTCATCCAACTCGTCCAAGCCCCAGGGTCTTCCCAACGATCTCGATGGCCCTGGTAGTCCTGTGACTGGATGATGTCGTAGTTCACTGCGGGTCCTGCAGTTGGGTCCACCGATCACCGCATCAATCCATCCCAACATTGCAATCCTCAGCAGTGCTGCATACATTGCATCGTCCTTTGACATGTCATGACCTTGGTTTCGAAGGATGTCCACCTCCAACAATCTCGTAGTGTCTCCGCCCGCCTCCTTGAGAGCCCTGGTGAGGTCGTAGCCCTCATTCTTCCCAGCGTAGAGATGAACCACGACACCCTCGTTTTTCCAGCGCTTGCGGATGCGTCGATTGACTCCAAGGACCTCCAGATTCCTTGCTGGAGAGTCCACCAGGCGATCCTTGATTCGGATCGGGACCTTGTCGAAGATCGGACAATCTGCCACCACCCGGTCCAGCCAGTCCACGTCATTGTGAGTCTCCCCAAATCGGTAGCACCTCAACGCCGTTCTCGACCGAGATTCCTCCAGCTCCCTGATGAGGTCCAACGCAACATCATGGTCCATTTGAGGGCATCCAGCTTCAACCCTAAGGTCAATGTTGCCCTTGACCGGATGCTCCAAGGTGCACGCTTCTCCCATCCATTCGATTCGACATCCCAAATCACGAACCAGCCTTCCCGCCGGTACAATCGGCTCCACATTCTCACTGTTGTGGACCAGCGTCTCCCCTTCTGTCATTCGGATGTCTTGTGCTCCTCCAGCAGCCAACGTCACCCTCACCTGGCGATATCTCTGAAGATCTTCCCCTCGGAGCTTGGGCCTCAGAGCGTGCGTTGCCCCGGAATCCAGAAGTCCTTCTCGACCTTGTTGGACTCGAGCTATCTTGACAGCCCGTAGCTCTGGGCCACCTTTCTCCCATGCTCGATTCAGCTTCTTCAACGTCGCACCAAGGTCCGTTGCGCGATCTTGCCCTTCTTCTTCGAGGTTCATGCCCTTGAGCAACTTGTGCGCCTCATCAAGCACATTCTTGATCGGGTCTGCAGTTTTTGTCGCTGCGTCCGATACCGCCTCCGAAGTCACCGACTGCGAAGATGCTGCTTGAGGAGAAATTGAAGCCCCCGACTCACTCCGCGAGGTCACATTTCCACCACCACCAGTTTTGTCCAGCAGCTTCTGAAGCTTCGGTTTCTGGCCAGATGGAGGTCCTTCTCCCTTCTTTGCCGTCTCTTTCCTCGGACAGTCTCGAGCCAGATGTTGTGTGGCCCCGCACGTAAAGCACCTTCTCTCCTGGTTCTGCTTGTCGCCAGTCTCCAGTTGATGTGCCCATTTGCACGACTGCCCTCTTCGACATCCAGACTCCGTGAGGAAGTATCGACAAGGACCCTTCGCCGATGTCGTTGGTGAGTCCCCCTTCTTCTCTCGATCTTCCCCTTGTAGTGCCTTTACTGCCAATGGTCCACCTCCCTGATTTCCAGGCCTCGTAGTGCTCGAAGACGGTCGGACTCGGTGCATGAGTTGTTCAAGTTCAGCAAGTAAATGCTCAGCATACGTCCGAACAGTCTCCTCATTGTGGATGGTATCAAGCTGCAAGGTGTTTTTGACCAAGGCAAATCTGAATTGCAGATCCGGTTGTTGAGTGAGGATCCGCTTGCTGAGTTTGTTGATGCCCTTCATGAGGATGATCGCATCAGGAAGATTCAGGCCAATGTCGGTGGCCCTCCTTAGCCAGCGCATCCAGCGTCGGAGCCCCATGCAGGCTTCGCTCGGCGACCCTGCTTCTGGCGGATCTTCAAGTTGCCGCAGGATGATGGTGCGCTCATGAGCACCACCTGGTTGATAGAGGACCATGAGTTTGCTCACCAGCCCCAGCGGCGACAAAGTCCTCGTTGCTACCAGTTCCTCCTTCACTGTCGTGGGAACTGAAGAAAGCAGCATGCTGATGGCCCTCTTTTCCACTCGAGCCCACTTCGGCTTTTGCAACTCAGCAGACGGCTCGATCTTGGATGATGCCCGCTGAATTGGACGAAGCTTGATGTACTGTTTGTACCAAGCCCTTGCTTCGCTCACCACCAACTCCCACCACTCGCCTGACGAGTCGCTAAGGTCTGTCATAGCCGGTTCCACCATAGTGAGCCAGTCAGCGAGGTCGATGGGAGCCGTATCGGATGGCTCTGCCAGGACTGGGAGTGTGGCCGTCCCCGGCTTGACCGACTCCGGTCCTTCTTGCTTCTTGTCCTTGTCGACCAGGTAGGTGATCAGCATAGACATCGCATCAGCCATGCCACCACCGTGCTCTCTTGATGGTTCCTCCCGAACATTTGCAGTTGAAGATCGACCAGGCTGCTCGGCTGTGGCTTTCTTCTTTGGCTGACCCACGCCTTTCCCGGTCCCTTGTCTCCCTTCCGGTTCGAAGCCCTTCGCCCGAGATGCCACCAAGCCCTCAGGTTGACCTCCTCCCTGACGTGCAGTCCTCGGACCTTGAGATCTTGACCTCTCTCGTTGTCCTTGCCCCCGACCACCTCGCTTTGCTGGCGCCGGAGTGACCGTCCCCATCAAGGATTGGAGCTGCTCGAACTGCTGCATGGGAGTCAACTCATACAGCCGGCGTCTTTCCACCTCCAAATCTGTCTCTCTCGGAGGCTCGTCGACCGTCAATTCCAGCTGACGATTCACAGGCTCATCGCTTTCTGGCGTTCTGAAAGCCTGCTGCTCCAGCTCACGTTGTAGGTCATGGACTTTGGCTTCCAGGCTTGCCCTCTGGTACTTCATGGCGTCCATGAGCTCTGCCTGCTGAATCTGCAGTTGTTGGTTCTCCTGTTTCAACATCGCCAACATGGTCATCATCTCCTGTGGATTCGGCGGACCAGGGCCATAGGGATGTAGCTGAACTTGCCATCCTCCTTGATGCGGCATAGGTCCCCTCCTCTCTTCATGGGGCATGATGTACCCAGGTGGGCCAGTTTGTCCAAAGCCTCTCGGAACATGTAGACCTCTTCCTCCAGGCCCGTTCCCTTGGATCTGAACCACCGATTGCTCTCTAGGTTGGGGAGGTTGTCGCCCATCGCTGTCACTTTCAGGCTCTTGTACTTCAGGTACCCGTGGTTCTCTTGTTCGTCCACGTCGCTGGTCATCTGGTACATGATCGCCCACCAGTGCCGGTGATGGTGTCCCCGTCGTTGTGCTTGTCTGCGGAAGCACTCCCACTGCACCTTCTTCTTTCGGCAGGAACGTGGGTCTCTCTTTCTGCACCTCCTCTGGCGACCTGTTTCCCATTCCAGGCTGCCAAATGCTCTGCCTCGGGACTTGAGCATACAAGTGAGGAGCTTGGCTCTGCACTTCATGAAGTCCCTTCAGCTGTTCCGGCGTGAAGAGTGGGGTCATCGGTGTCAACGTGGTCGGCGGTCCCTTCGGACCTTCCAATTTCTCTTCCCCTTCTTCTTCACCATCTTCCAACGCCAGCTGCTCCTCTTCTAGCTGCCGCTCTTGTAGGTGAAGGCCTCCCTGATTATCAGGGTCTTCTTCTCCACCTTCGCCTGGAGCTTGCCGGCGGCGCCTTGCCATCATGGCCATGGCTGCGAAGAGCGAAGGGCCGCCTTCCCCTTGCCGGAAGGTCTTACACCTGCGAACTTGGGCTCATAACCTGCAAGGTTCAACGCTCCTATTTTCGAGCATAAAAGCGGCTGTTGAGTGTACACTTCTCGTTTTGTGCGTGTCATCCTTTGCGGACCAGCAAAATCAATCTTATGGACCCCCCCCCCCCCCCGCTCGGCCCCCCCCCGCGCGCGGTGAGCGGGACCACCAAGCAGCTGCAGCACACCAAGCATCTGCGCCCAGCGCAGCAGCGGCAGCAGCAGCAGCAGCACCAGCAGCAGCAGCAGACCACCCAGCGGCGGCAGCAGCAGCAGCAGCATACCCATACCCAACGCCGCGGCAGCAGCAGCAGCAGACCACCCAGCGCCAGCAGCAGCAGCAGCAGCAGACGACCCGGCGCCTGCAGAGCACCCAGCGCAGCAGCGCCCAGCGCAGCAGCGGCAGCAGCAGCACCAGCAGCAGCAGCACCAGCAGCAGACCACCGGAAGCCCGGCTAGCTTTCGTTCACCCCCTCTGGCCTCAAGTGACCTTTCTTGGTTGGTTTGCCGAGCGACGAAAGGAGCTGTCACACTGTGAGCCTGGATCTCAGAGCTTTTGCGTGTCTTTGGGGGTTGCAGACATATGATGACATATGCAGGGTGCAGAGGTTTTCGGAGCATTCCAGTCGAACTTGTGTTAGGACCTTTGGGAGGTCAGCGATGGAAATCTGATGGAGCATGTTGGTGAGTTTTCCAGAACAGAAGTGGAACAGAGGCAAAAACACGACGTGAAACGGTTGGATCTTTGTTTGACTTGATACCACCGGAGAACACGGACTGACTCTCGGTTTCTTGTACCTGAACGACGCCCGATAACGACTGATCACTCGGTGCAGAACAACATGGGTTTGTCTTCAGTGAAGTACGTATATACCGGATACCAGACAAAGTTTCGGAGATCAACACGAGCGTGGTGAAGTTAGCACTTATGGTACACAACCTTCAATGTTCGACCAAAGGGTTGATTCTGAGCATCAGAAAGGATGCACCAGATGCAACCCGGTGGACATGCTGGCGAACAAGAAAGGCAAGGCTGCATGGTGCATGTTTGGAAGGTGACTTCTTCTCGAAGTGCAACCCCCAAACCTGGAGAATGTAAACGCAGCTTCCAACCCCGGCAGACGAAGCAGGTCCCTTCGCCCAACTCCCGTTCGAACTACTAGAGTTCATGTTCATCCTTCTTCCAGCCTTGTTTCGAAAATAAAAACGTCCTCCTCCCAACTCCCACCCTCCCCCCCCTCCACCAACCCTGCCCGGTCCGGGCTGATCTTGTTCGTCGATGTCAGACCGGACCGCAAACCTGCTCTTGTTCGTCTGAAGGGACGACCCGTCGGAGGCCATACGACCACGAAGATGGAAGGCAGCAGTGATGAGGCCCGACCCCCCCCCCCCACCCCCGGCCCCCCCGCGGTGGTCGGCGCTCGTCGGTGCTTCGATGCGCCAGATCGACACGACGAAGGGGACTGGAATGGATGCCGCCCTAGACAGACCCCCCGACTTCAACCACCCCTGGCCGTTTGGAAGGCATCTATATGGCAGTCCCAGACAGGTCGTGTTTGGGTATGGACACTTGGATCTTCTTGGCTTGGTCCTGCTCCCGTTGGTTCTTGGCACTGGTCTTTCCAAGGTTTAGGCCCAGGATTCGCAGAGATCACCCTCCATCTAATTGAACTGTTATATATCCCAGACACGACCCATGGGACTGCCACTCCGGACTGCCGATGACTGGGGGTCAATGGGGCGGCAGTCCTATGGCAGTCCCATGGAGTGTCTGGGATAGTTAGATCTAGATCTTCCAACTGCGTAAACACTTATTAAGCCTTTCCATTGCAAGCCAGAAGGAAGAGTTGGAGAATCCAGGTATAGAATGGTTCAGGCAATTTAGTAGACAAGGACTTACCCACAGAGTCATTCTCCCACCCCATGAATGATAGGGTGTTTGATTCGGGAGAGACTCTTATACAAGGTAGAGGTCTGTGAGTCAGCTTAGAGTAGCACTGTCGTGCATTCACTCTAGTGACATGTCTCCGCAAAGGAGGGTGAGATGGAGGTTGTGGAGATGGATACCAAGAAGGGCACAGAGACAATAGGCGCGGCTGGCACAACAGAAACCTGTATACTTGGACTTCAATCGCTATCCAGAGAACGGGTGACAGGCCAAAAGAAAGACAATGATACAGCTGCAAAGGAGGCAGCGGCCAAAGAAGCAGCTGCAAAGATAGCAGCTGCCAAAGAGGCAGCTGCCAAAGTGGCAGCTGCAAAGAAAGCAGCTGCCAAAGAGGCCGCTGCAAGGGAAGCAGCCGCCAAAGAGGCAGCTGCAAAGGAAGCAGCCGCCAAAGAGGCCGCTGCGAAGGAAGCAGCCGCCAA